CTCAGTGCTTAACAGGTTAGTGACGGATGTATTTTGTTATACACACATTCATTCACATTTACATTTTAATGTACATTCAAGTATTTTGTGAGGCCTTCTAACATGTTTTTAAATATAACTACGGTTCTAGTTGAAGAGTTTGTAAATTAACATGAATCAAAGCTGTTGCCTGGCAACGCAATCGCACAACGTCACGTCCGTTAATTCCACATCCACACGCATGGATTTACATCGATTTAATACATTAATGTAGCCTAACAAGAAAATCGGCGTAATCGAGTGTGACTATTACAAAATAAGTCATTATTATATTAATATTGACAATAACAACCGACCGTCGGGGAGCATTTGCTTGGCATCTCCGGTTATTTCTCCACTGGTTAACATGGGTTAACAATACCGTGTAACTGTCATGTTTGAAGGGACGAAATCGTGACATCTTCACGTCTCCCAGCATGGTAAATCCTCACATGTTCACGTCTTGCCATGATACCGGGTTGATCTGAGACCCATGGTATATGCCTTAATAGGAGACCTTTAAGGCGAATAAGATTTATTTCTTCAAACTTGTCTGAACTCACAGGTGAGATTTGGGGATCCTCATGGCTCCCAGCTCAGCGAACCATCCCTCCTCCTCGCTCCTGTAGGTCTCCACTCGGCCTCCAATACGCCCACTGGACTCTACTATGGTTACCTGGCACAACACATTTAAACATGATTAAGGTCCTGATTTTCTTTAAAGAGACTTGGGATTTTCCTTGTGCCTCTGACAATAAAGGCTTTGAATCATTAGAAACTGTTTTTAAAGCAACTCTAATTTCATTCTAGAGCCTTTAGATGTTGAGAAGTGGTTTTATAAAGCAACTTTCACTACTTTAATTTAATTGTAGAGCATTTCAATCATAACTATTTGTTTTGTAAAGCAACTTAATTTCTTAAATCCTATTTTAGAGTCTTTAGATCAGGATAAATACTATATAAAGTGTATTTGGAGTGTGCACCTTGTCTTATAAAGCAACTTTCACTACTTGAATTTCATTTTAGAGCATTTAAATCATGAGACATCGTTTTATAAAGCTCTTTCTTTCCTTAACTCCTATTTTAAAGTCTTTAGATCATGATAAATAGTTTCTAAAGTGTATTTAGAGCATGCACCTTGTGCCCGGCGTCCTGCAGCAGCTTTGCAGCCGTCAGTCCTGCAGCCCCGGCCCCGACAATGACCACGTGATGGGAGGAGTGGATGTGAGGAAGGCCGCTCTGCAGCGTCTTCAGGAGATCCTTGTAGTCTTTGTCCTGCAGACAGTCCTTCAGATGTTCCTCCAGATGTTCCTTCAGATGTTCCTCCAGATGTTCCTCCAGATGATCCTCCAGATGATCCTCCAGATGTTCCTCCAGATGATCCTCCAGATGTTCCTCCAGATGTTCCTCCAGATGATCCTCCAGATGATCCTCCAGATGTTCCTCCAGATGTTCCTCCACACTCCCAGCAGCTGATGATGTGTTTCTGAGACAGAGAGTGAGCAGCAGCAGCCGGACGACACCTGGAAACACAGATATTATTATTCAGGGGTGAAGGGGAGTCAATGGAGAGAGGGACATTTTAAATTGTGACTGTGCTTCCCTTGGTGCTTTACAACAAATAAATATGAATTTAGTGCAAAAGAAACATTTATTATATTTGTTTAATGATTTATTAAACAAAGAACTGGTGTATAAAATATGGCAAAAATAATTAAAGAACACTAATTTAATAAACAAAAAAGACTCAGATGTATCAATTCAAATTAAGATTTTTTAAAGTTTTGTTTAGGGTTATAAAATATGGCAAAAATATTGAGAAAAAGTGCACAAAAAAACATTAAAGAAAGTCGATTACATTTCATAAAGATTATTTTAGCAACATGGAATTTCAAAGTGATTTACAATAAAAAATAAGAGGCAAATATGGCAAAAATAATTAACACAAACTGCAAAAAAATGAAAGAAGGTCGATTTAATTAACAAAAATACTTGTTATTGATCATTATTCTGATGATTTCCTTTTGGAAGGGGGATACAATATGGCAAAAGCCTGAATACATGTTATTTATTTAAACAGTCAATAAAAAGAAAAAAACATTTGACAAAAAATCCAAAACAAAACCTAATTCTTTTTTTTTTAATGACTTGAAGTTAAACCTAGTGGGTTTATATTCTCACTTATTTTAAAGGTCCCACATCATGGCCATTTCTACTGATCATAGTTCCATTGTTGAGGTCTACTAGAATAGATTTATATTGTTCAATGTTCCAATACCACATTGGTTCCTCATCCAGCATCTCTGTATAGTCTGTGTATTCACTCTCTGTCCTACACGGCTTGTTGGAGCTCCTGCCCTATCTAGTTGCGCACGCTACTAAAGAGAGGCGCTACCATGGAAATCAAACGATGGTGTAGCTGTAATAAAGTCCGAGTGGAAACAGTCGTGTGTAAATCTGATTTTGTCAGAAATCGGGAGAAATATGAAACCGGGAGGGTTGGCAAGTATGAGAGGGTTTTTGACTCTGCAGACCGTTTACATGCAGAAAAACCTTCATAACACACAAGGGGACGGGAAATAACCGGAAAAGCATGACATGTGACCTTTAACACAGCATGTGACCTGTAAAATACTTCCTGTGAAATCCTTATTTTTCATCATGCGGTGATGAATGATAACTGAAACTATGAACTCCGAAAGCAGAACAAGTGACCGCAGCAACATCTGCATGAAAAACTCTCAACAGACATTATTTTAGGGAATTTCCAAAGATGTCCGTCTCTGATATTTTGTCATTTAAAAATAGAGTAAAAACACAATATTGGTACAAAAAAATACTCACAGGATTTCCACTTCACTGTCTGAGGATCCATGAGTTCAGCTTTCTGAAGAAGGGAAACAGAAACTAAAGGAGGCAGACATCATTAAATCCTGTAAATGTACAGTATCTCATCTTGTAAAGTGACGAGACAAACACCGTTTACAGTTATTAAGAAACACACCAGAAGGATCTTTCAGCTGCAGTATTACCTGTGAGTGTGTGTGTGTGTGTGTGTGTGTGTGTGTGTGTGTGTGTGTGAGTGTGTGTGTGTGTGTGTGTGTGTGCTCTCTGCTGTCTCTGATCATCCCATCTATTTATCACCAGATTGTAAAAGCAATACATATTTGTATAAACTTAAATTAAAACGTTATAAAATTAAACACATTTATAATATATATATATTTAAAAGCATATATTGGCTTATTATGTTTTCCTTTGTTTATCTTGTTTTATACATTTAATGTTTTCATATTCCTCCTCACATATATATATATTTATGTTTTCAATAAAGCTTTTAATATTGTATTTCTATTATGTTTACCTCAACTCTCCCTTCAGGGTCTGGTTACTTCCAATCTAGGCTGTGTCATCTTTATAAATTAATCTAAGACGCATCTTGCAGATAATATATACATATTTTAATAAACGTAATAACAAATAAAAGTATGCTTACCTTTGTTGGAGCCTAAACAACAGATGGTGCCGTCACAGAGAGCTGAGGTGGAATCAAGCCCTCCTTTATACCCCAGAGTCTCCCTCTGACCTCAGAGGGCAGGACCTTTGCACCGGCCAAGGTTCTCTTTCCCAAGTCTTCACATTTATGATACATTTAACAATCAGGTTGATGTCCTCTCGTGTTAACAATTATATTTCTTTAACACCTAGCATGCACTAGAACATCAGTGGAAATGTATTTTTGGGGGGATTGAGGGTATTCAAACACAAATCAGCCAAAAACAATATAATACAACAAAATGATGTGAAAATATTAATATTTTTAATTTGAAGGAGTTTGTATTCAACCTCTAGTTCCCTCTATATATACAAATATATATATATATATATGATTTTGTTTTACTAACTATACAACCAAATCAGTCGAAAATAAAAAAACTTAAAATATTGTTTCTGTTTATTTATTTTGGAAGACTTTAATAACTCACTGAGCAAAAAATAAAATTCTTACAAAGCTAATCTGTAAATAAATGGAAGAACAGGTATTAAAAACCTTGCTCAGTAAAATGTTATTTAATCCATGTTATCTTTTACTTGTTTGTATATGTGGTGAAAAGTGCAACTGTTAATGGACTGCATTATTACAGAGCTTAGATAAATCATTATAACCCATAAATCTCTTAGTCACCTTTCAAATATAAACTTTTAACACTCTGGAAGCATCATCAACGTTCACTTTATTTATTAAATATACGTTAAAATCAGGGTTTGTTTCTTCTCATATTGTAATCTCATCAGCTGGTCGACATGTGTGAATCATTTCTTGGTCATTTCGCCAAAAAGTGAACTGAAAAGAGGAAATAAAAGGCGGATTTATTTTATTATTGAGTCATTTGGGATTTCCTCCACTAACCAAGTGTTTTTTCGTTTCCTATTTACTCTATTTTTCATTGTGTATTTATTATTTGCTTATTTATTGTTCTGAGAAAGAATTGTTTCAGTCCTTTTGAACTGGTTGCTCAATCAGTTATATTAAAATATATATATATATATATATATATATATATATGTGAACAGAGGGAAAAACTGTTCAAGTTAAACTGAAATGGTTAAAAGCAAATGTGTGAATTTATCAATATTGAAATACGTGAAATTGAATTAAATAAAAAACCTAATAAAAATGTTTTGGATAAAGTAAGTTAAATAAAGAATGAACAATAAAAATAAAAACAATTAAATAAAGATTTGTATTCAAACATAAGAATTAAAAATGTGGAGTAAAGATTTGAAAAAATAAAATATTATACCAACATATAGTAAGTTTTAATAAGTTGAATATTTGTAATAATACAAATAATTAAATATATGTTTAGATGAATACCATATTGTTATAATTAATATTAGAAAAATTAGTAGTAATTTATATGCAGGAATAAATTACATCAATTCATTTTGTTTTATTGTATTTTTATAAATTAAAAGTCAATTGACTTGAAAAACATTAATTGCATTTATAAGATCAAAAATCATCCGTTTGAATTGATTTAAATTCTAAAGTACATGATAACACCAAAAGCCGTGATACAGAGAGAGAGAAAGAGAGAATACTAAACCCCATTTCGTCATCTTCAGTGAAACTAAAACAAAGTGTTTTTGGAGCCCGTCCCAGAACCAGATGGCTCAGTTGGTGCAGAAATATAATTAAAACATATCACCTTCAAATTAAACATTATCTCTCACGGAACATTAAAAACATATTTAAAGTTAACATGGCCGTAAGCAAATATCAAAAGTGTACATGAGCATCATGTAAATACAAAAATAAAACACATTTTTACATCTTAACTACATAGACTTGAATAGTGAATTATATGTAGGCAATATACGCCGTCTGAGTCTTTCTATTCCTGTGAGTAATGTTCAGATATGTTATAATGTTGTAACTTTCTTTCATGTCTTTTTGCTGTTAATCTGCCGATAAATCTGCTCCGTCCCTTCACACATCGTCTTCACAAAACGGGGGCAAGTTCAAATACAACTCCAGCTATGTGTTGCTAGGCAGACAGTGAGCAGAAGTATATTTGCCCCTGTTGATAGATGCAGGGTAAGATAAGCACAATGACATCAGAAAGGAGGGTAGTTAAATATGTGAGGTTATGTTACAACCAGAATGAATTGATGGTGAACCACAGTCTGTCTCCGGTCTTCCAGGGCTTCAGGTCCTTCCACTCCAGCTCAGTGTTAGAACGATTGGGACCATAACCTGCTGCCCACATCTGTAAAATACAAAACCACAGACTTACAAGCAGAATCATTAAATCAAATAAATGAATGCAGGGAAAATGCAACAACACAAAGTGAAAAAACAAGAAAGACTCACAGTGACAAATCTTCCAGCCTTGAGTTTGAAAGATCGATCAAATGTGTACATGCAGGTTTTGTTGTCGTTAACCTGCAGATGTAACTCCGCGTCTCCCAGAAGTTTGTCCTGAATGAAGTGAAATAAGGGGAGGGAGGATGAGAGACAGAAAGACCAACAACAAATTACACAAAAACAAGAGAAAAGGGGTTCTTAAGGTTAAACAGGTCATTATGAGAGTTTGAGAAGAAGAAGAATTCAACGGCTCATTTGGAGGATGTTTAAATGATAGTATTCACTCTCATAAAGCACTCAGAGATCATCCACACAACATTACCTCAGTCGTACTGTTTTTCAGACGGATACAGATGCCCTGTTGGCGGACCTCAATATTGAATCCTGTACGAGGGGTTCTGGCGTGGTTAAACACGGCACGGCTGCGGTGTGGTTCCACAGATTGAGAATTATAAAACTCTTCACATCTTCCTAGCTGAAACTAAGGGGGAGACAACACAGAACATAGGGCACCACTTTACAATAGGACTACCCTTATAAAGGATTCATAAAGGGTTTGTAATTAGGTTATGAATTAGGTTGTAAACACTTTATTAATCTTTAAGAACCATTTATAAACCAGTTCTAACATAGTTTTCATACATCAACACAGGCTCACTATTTGGCAAGATGACTAAGCCTTAGGTAGCCAATATAAGGCTTAGCAGTACAGATACATGTGGGCTCACTATTTGGCGAGCAACTGGTCACAGTTGCCCTGTTTATCTCATGTCTTATAAAAGCTAATTCATTTTTTATAACGTGTTCACAACCTGATTAATAAATTACAAACTATTCGTAAACCCTTGATAAGGGTAGTCTTATTGTAAAGTGGTACAGAAAATATTCATCCATCATCTTTGAACTCAGCTGTTTGATCCCTGTGACACGCTGAGATCCATCTCATTTGGTGTCTCAGTGTGTTTTCATGTAGTTTGAGTTGTCTTGGTCTCAAATATCAACTACTTGTAAAGAAGATTCAACTAAAGTGTGTGACAACAACAATATAAACAACGCATCTTATTGGTCCTTCACTTCTCTCTCATTCTCAGATTATCTCAAGGTTAGTTTGATCCCTTTAGCCTCTTGAAGAATCAATGTCTTTTGGAGAAGATGAAGTAAAGATTTGAATTAAGTTGTCCACCTTCTTTGCAAATCCCCAAGCTTCCTTTCCCCTCCGCTTCTTCTCATGGGGTTGCTGGTTGCCCTTGGAGACACCATATGAAGGAGATGAAGCACTGGGAGGAACTGTGTGCTTCAGGTCTTTCTCAGCGTCCTCTCTGCTGGTCTTCTTCTCTGGGACCATCAGAACCTGCAAGATAAAGAGAGATACAGACATTTGAACTTTTACATTTGACTTTTGAACTAATTTAACATGATATCCTTGTCTGGGTGAAAGCATATCCTGCTCTGCATCACATTTTCTCTCACAGGACAATACATAATTGATCTGCTTCACAGTAGCATTTCAGTACAGTTTGAGTTGGTTAGTTTTATCACTTTGGCCTCAGCAAAACATCTGTGTAATTCAGAACATTCAAAAATAGTTTTGGTAAGAAAAATAAATTCAAGGAAGCACTTTAAACTGACTGTGTGCTTCCGTCTTCCTGCAAACTGTGTCTGAATGAAGCTGACTGATATGTGAAGCAGCAGGAGCCTCTTCTAAAGGGCGCTGAACGTCTAGTTGATCCTGAACATGAGTCACTGCAGGACCTCATGCTGTGTGTGAAGGACTTTCAGTGGAGATGACAAACCTTTTTCTGCAGCTTCTCCTCCAGGATGTGAACGTTCCTCTCAGCTTCCTCCCTCCTCTGCTGCTCCTCCAGGATGTGAACGTTCCTCTCAGCTTCCTCCCTCCTCTGCTCCTCCTCCTTAAACTTCTGTCTGGACACCAGCAGCCGTTTTAACTGAAATACAGAGAGGCAGAGATCAGGAACATGTTGATTGGAGAATGTGACTCAACATGACAAATATCAAATATCAAGGGGTCTGACTTTGTGATTTTTTACGATTTTTCGACTACAGTTGAGAATAGTTCTACAGCTTGAACAGAAACGGGTTGATGCGCCCTTAGCATTCGCCTATACTGCCTATACCAAGGGCCGGCCCTGGTGAAAACAATATGACATCAACAAAAAGCACCACACACGATGGTTACTTGTTATTATTTAGGGCTGCCTGTAGGGATCAGGTTTTTGCCAAAGCGAGCCCTTTTACTAGAATAATAATATGTTATGTATTATATCAACCGTATTGGTACAATGAGCGACATCTAGTGACGGATTTTGGAACACTGATCTGATATTTCTCATGGCAGTTAGACTCTAGAGACAAACCAGGGGACTTTATTTTTTAATCTGTGTCTGTCTATTTGGTGTAGTATTTGATCCAATATTACATTTGGTTTATATATTAGTCACTTTCTTATGAAATGCCAGGTTTTAGGCCGTGATTTAAACATCCAATCCTGAAAATAAAAATCAACCAGATTAATGTGTCTTTAATCCTGACTAGAGGTAAGTAAATCTGTATAGGAAGACGAGTTAAGGGATAGAGGAGAAAAGGTTATGGTATAATTACAGAGCCTGTCAATTTATAAATTGAGGAAATCAATGTTAGTCTGTTAACCAAAGTGCAGCCATCTATCTATCAACTATCTACTATCTATTATTAAAGATCAGAGGAAAAGAACGAGAGGGGTAAATCCGGAATAAAAAGAAAGAAGCAAAGAGATTGTAGAGCAGTGAGAAGGAAAAAAGCTTGGTGTGTCAATTCATTACATTGCCAGTATTTTTCATTGTTGTGAAAAAAGAATTGCCCCCTCGGATTTTTTAACAGCCCCCTCAGTCATTTCATCCTGGAGCCGGGCCTGGACCGATCTGATCGGAGCAACTGTGACAAATAATTCAACTGAAACCGGCATGGACAATGACTATGTTTTAAAAATGCGCTTATCCAGAAAAGCCTGGTTTGGACACTTTACGGGCAGAAGAAACATTTATAATAAAGAAGGAATTACATTTCTGTCTTTTTCTTCATGATGAATTGGAAATGGGGGACCCTGATGTAAACAAGACGAAAGTCTTTCTCTGGTCTGCATCCCCTTAACAATTGTATGTTTTGAGCTGTACTGTACTGTACCCAATATACAAGCTGTTAATAAACTTTTCAATCAATCAATATTTGTATGCCTTTAATAGCTACTAACTTGAATTTGTATTCAAATGAATTAATCAATTATGACAATCATGTATTGCGTTACAATTATATGTAATAAAAAATGTTGTAATTGTAATTGTGATATTTGGCCTCAAATCATCTGAGGCCTGGCGCCCCCCCCTCCCCTCGCTACACTCTCCATCATGACAACACTGCGTGGCACGCTCACGCTAAATACACAGCCTACACGTCACCGCGGCCCGCCCGTCCGTCTAACTGCCTCACAGAAACTAGCTAAACTCCCCCTAGTCTTCAGGTGCTAATTACGGCAGGTATTCACGCACTTACTACCGTAAACACCTGCAGCCTCAGCGTGCTCCCGAGCTACAACACTTACCCTCTTCATGGCTACTCCCAAACAATCAGTTGTGCGCTCCATCATGGCCCGCTGCCACACCCGCTAGCTGTGTGTTAAGTTCCTCTCCGCTACACAACATACTCCGCCCCATATGTTACAACCAGGCTCTTGCGCTGTAACAAAAAGTTGGCAGGCGAGATGAGGAAATATAACGATCCTTTATTAGTGGACACAAAAGTAAACAGCCGCGGTGGCTAGCAGCTGTGGGTGTAGCTCGTCAGTCCAGAGAGAGAGAGAGAGAGAGAGAGAGAGAGAGAGAGAGAGAGAGAGAGAGAGAGAGAGAGAGAGAGAGAGAGAGAGAGAGAGAGAGAGAGAGAGAGCAGAGAGGTTAGAGAAGAGAGAGATAGCTATGCTAGAGAGATCAAAGCTCTCTCTCTCTCCGTATCTCTCTCTTTGCCTCCTCTCTTCCTCGAGCTCTCTCTCACTCTGCCTCCTCTTCTTAGCTATCTCTATTATCTTATTCTCCCTCCTTTATTAATTCTTCTCCCCCAGAGTAACCATGATGCTCAAACCTCCACTTCCTCCTCAGCTCCTTCAGGCTGGTCGATTAGTTACAGTTTACACTCAGGACTTCAGCCCAGAGTTCACTAAACTATTCTAGAAGAAACCTCTTTGGTTTTGGTGTCTGTTTTCTCCTGTTGGGCCTCCAGCATATATTTAAGCATATATTATATATAATAGGGGTGGGAATCACCAGGCTCCCCACGATACGATACTATCGCGATACTTATGCCACGATACAATAGTATATTGCGATATAGCAAATCATGTCCGTCTTCCCTTCCTGGTTAAAAAATGTATTTGCAATATGAATAGTTTATGTAAATAACCCAATGTGTGTTCTTTGAACCTGAAAAGGAGATGGCATTGTTTTTGTTACTTTCATTGCAACATGTCTTAACGTAACTTCCTGTTTTATTTAGACATGCTTTTATCTTGAAGGTGACTTTGCGCTATCAGCAGGAAGTTACTGTTCCCAAAGCAAAAACTTGACTGAGAAAAAGAACGGAGATAAAGTACAGATATTAACGGAGATATCAACATTTAAATACAGTGAAATCAAAAGATAAAGTTTACAATTAAGTATTAGCAAGAGGCACACGGTTAGTGTTAACTGTAATATATGGTTTGTCTTAATTCGTTTATACTGTATTATAACTTCGCTAACTATGTTCACTTAAATGGTATTCTAAAGTAATGCTCACATGGATGAAGCTTAGAGGTATTTGTTGTTTTGTGTCTTTCTGTAGCTCTTACGTTGGTTTTGGAGTTTTCAATAAATTACAAATCATCAGTCAAGTGTACGACCATCTTTCGGAAGGATCTGCTACAGTTTATATCATAAAATATCAATACTTGGTATCCATGTATCGATACAATATCGCCACGCAAAGTATAGCGATACTATGCTGTATCGATTATTTCCCCCACCCCTAATGTTTAATATATATCTCTAAATTACATAAATGCAGCTTTTCAATGAAACATTTTCTAGCGTAACTTTATTTCAGGTGGTTGAAAAAATGGGTATTTAATTGTCTTATTTATATTCATTTCTACTGATCATTTCACAACATATCAGCCTTTTAAACAGACTTATTACAGTAATGGATTTCCTTTATGTTGTGGTTGTAATGTATGTTGTACATTAACAACATTTATACTGTATATTTTATATAGTGCATATTATATCAATCTCAGGCCAATTTACCGGAATATATTTGGAATCATAGTCGAGGGCTGTTTGAGCTCTCTCCAGCTGGGGGAAGGAGATGTAGAGACAGATGAGTACCACATGAAACACTACAGCAGTGATAATGATAACATGTAAAGCCACAGTTACACTGAGTACAAACAAAGTAGCTTCAGTGCAGTGGGTCCTAAACATGGTGATGATTGAGTTCCTCAAACAGCTTCCTGACTGTCTGCAGGTTTACAGACGATCACATGAGAGGGGTCAATGAACCCAATGTCTATCTCTCTATTCACATGAAAAATAAAGTTCAAAGATGGAGACGTGAACCTCTCTGTTCTTGTTCCACAGATCTCCCTTCAGGCTCTGCAGCTCCTTCTCGTTCCTCTGTTTCTCTGCATGGAGATCCTGCAGCTCAGACTGTTTAGATTCAACCTGAAAGAACAGCAGGAAGATTAACATCATTTATTCACAGTCTAAAAGTAGGACAGTCTGGAGTTGGTCTCCACTTGGACCTGCACTGCAGGTTTGACCTTGTCTGCACTAAGGAGGACATTGAAAGAGACTTCAAACAGGAATCAATGTGTTTCATTATTGAAGTGGAGATGAACCTCTTTCTTCTTGTTCTGCAGCTGCTCTTCCAGAGTCTGGACTTCCTTCCCAGCATCCTTCCTCCTCCTCTGCTCCTCAAGCAGCTGCTGCTCAGATGGATTTTTCTATGAGAGGAACAGTCACGTTTCTTTAGTGGTAATTTCTTAAGGTGCCACACAATGACACCTGTTTTCATGCATTTCTGGCAGATCCTGTATCTTGATGTGAAAGTCTTCTGTGCTTCTTGCTAAGACTTCACTTTTCATGTTGTTGTTTCTCTACTTACCTTTTTCCTCTTCTTTCTGACGTTTCCCTTCAAAGCCTCCATCTGCACAGCGTCAGGTTTCATCAGCTGTCCTCTTTCTCCTTCATTGAGAAACTGATCTTCATCCGAACGCTTTCTCTTCGTCTCTGTGTGAAATTAAACGTGTGTTTAGATGTGTTGAAAGAGAATTAGAGGAACTTTAGGAAGGGATCGGAGCACATAAAACTGTTCAGGCTAAATGTAGCTGAACAGTTGGGTGATTGGTCAACAGCTTAGAGATGTCCCGCCCCTAGTGCTAGCCAATAGAAGCATGAGTGGTACATAGTGATGTCACCATGTTCAAAACAAAGGAGTCCAATGGAGGCGTTTCAGGGGGGGGGGGGGGGGGGGGGGAGTTGTTGGGAGATATTGTAGCCTTTGCAGACCATTAACATGCACACAAACCTACAGAACATACAGCACTCAGCATAATAGGGCCCCTTTAAACAAACTGAATCAAATCACCCGACTGTTAGTGACTTACTGAATATGTGTTCTCTCCACAGAAAGAAGAAAGTAACAGCCAGCAGTAACAGAATGCAAACAGCCAAACTGACGGCCAGACCAATAATGACGGAGAAGAACTGGACTGGAGCTTAAAGAAATCATCTGAAATGATAAAACACAGAACATCACAGCATTTATGTAAAAATGGACCTTAATATTGGAAACTAAGACATGTCAAATTAATATAATAGCTACTTTCAATTCGCAGAGAGATCAGAGAGCAGATGTAAGATGGTAGTTTATCCAACATGGCTTTGTAGATGAAAATGTACCCGTGACTGAGCCTCCGTACAGTTAGTGAAGGCAGACCTGCCTTGGCATACAGGGTAGTGATGAGTTAATACTTTACAGTTAGTCACAAATCTCAGTGCACTGTGGTACGCGGCATCTAACTTGATTAGGTAATGGGCAGGTGCATTCATATAGATCAGATCCCCATAGTCCAGCACAGGTCAAAAGGTCACAGAGCCTCTTCCTGGCCTCAAGCGAGAAACAGGACTTGTTCCTGAAAAAGCAACCTAGTCTAACCCTCAGCTTTTTAAGCAGGTTATTGACATGAAGTTTAAAAGAGAGACAATCATCAAGCCAGATACCAAGGTAATTATAACATGCAACCACTTCAGGTACTCAGGTCCTGTCATGTCTAGGAAACTAATAGTGAAAGTGTATTCTTTATGTTAGTTTGGTCATGTCCCTTTGCCCTGTGCTTTATGTTTATTCCCTTAATTAATCATTCCTCTCATTTCAGGCCTCCACGCTCCCCGCCCCCTTCTGTCTCCTGCGTCCTTGATTGTTTTCCCCGCCCTGATTGTTTCCACCTGTGTCCCCTTTACCTGTGTATATATTGTGGTAGCTTCCTCCTGTTCATTGTCAGTTCGGTGTCTTACTATGACCCACGTTACTGATTACCTCACGGACTTCCCACGGATCTACCTCATTGATCACTTGCTAGTTTTCCTCGAAAGAGTGTATTTGTTTTCCTTGTTTTGATTACTGTGCTAAATTCCAGTAAAGTCTTTATTTTTTGAGAACACTATCTGAGTCGTGCAATTGAGTTCATGCCTCAGAGTCTCTCCTTGACAGTACGAACTGACCATTAAAATGAACTCAGCCGACTCAGACCAGCTAAAGAACGCCATCCGCTTTCAGGGCCAACGTATTGGGCAACAAGAAGAGCAGATGGCCGCCATACAGCTCGGAGTGCAGCACCTATCCAACAGCCACGGGGAACTACAATCATCGGTGACAACCCAGGTGAATCTGCTGGCAGCTGAGGTCCAGCGTGTGCTCACTCACCTGCAGGCTGCTTCTCCTCCCACGACTCCCCCGGTTCCGGCGGCGACCGGTTCCGATCCCAACCGGTCTACTGAGCCGCACAGTACTTCCATGCGTCTGGCTCCACCCGAAAAATACTCCGGAGACTCGGAGGGCTGCCGGACGTTCATTGTGCAGTGTGAGTTACACTATCACCACCAACCGGCTGCTTTTCCCACGGACAATTCCAAAGTGGCTTTCATGATCTCCCATCTCTCCGGCCGAGCAGCAGCGTGGGCTACGGCAGAGTGGTCCCGAGGCTCCCCCATCTGCGGGTCTCTGGAAAACTTCATAGACACTATGAGAAAGATCTTCAATCAAACCACGCCGGGCAGGGAAGCAGCTCGGGCTCTGATTAAGCTGAAACAACATCAGCGGAGTGTGGCTGACTACGCCATCGAGTTCCGGACTATGGCAGCCGATAGCGGCTGGAACTCCGCTGCATTGTTTGACGCTTTCGTCAGCGGTCTCTCGGATTCCCTACAAGACCAGCTGGCGCCTCTCGATCTGCCCGCTGACTTGGACTCTGTCATATCCATGGCAATATGGATAGACAATCGTTTGACGGAGAGGAGAAGGAATAAATCCAAGGATGCGGTTGATCCACCTCCCCAGAGGAGACGCTCGCCGCTGGATACTACTTCTTCTTGGAGGCCCCGTCACCCCTCACCGGCGTTCCGGACAACAGCGCCCCCTGGCTCCGTGGAGGAGCCAATGCAGTTGGGCCGCGCCAAGCTTTCGATGGCAGAACGTCAGCGTCGATTAAGGGAGGGTCTGTGCTTCTACTGCGGGCAGCATCCACAAGCGGCTTGTCTGGTAAAAGAGGAGGCTCACCAATAAAGAGGAGTACGTTGGTGAGCCGGATCTCTTCTTCTGACTTTCCTCCTCGCACCCTGACCCGCATCCAAGTAAAAATCAGAGACAATGTGGTTACTCATGGTGCACTCATTGACTCAGGGGCAGACGAAAGTCTGATGGATTGGGGTTTAGTTAAAAAATTGGACATAAAAACTAAACCTCTACCCCAGCCTCATGAAGCGAGTGCTCTCGATGGGCGGCTGTTGTTTAAAGTGACTCACCAAACAGAGCCTTTAGAAATAAGATGTGATGATAACCATCACGAGACAATGTCATTTCACTTGTTTAATTCAGCCCAACATCCACTCATTTTGGGGTTTCCCTGGTTGAAACTTCATAACCCTCACATTGATTGGCAATCTGGGAGGGTGGAGGGGTGGGGAAAGAATTGCAGAGATCACTGTGTTAAGCAGGTAGCGGAGATTGACAGAAGAGGTAACACTGGGAGGGTTAGGCAGGGAACTATCCCAGAAATATATTTTCCTGATGTTCTTTCAGTCCCTTCCTGCTACCACGATTTAAGTGAAGTATTCAGTAAATCCAAGGCTCTGACTCTTCCGCCTCACCGCCCCTATGACTGTGCTATCGACCTGATTGCTGGGTCTACAATTCCTAAGGGTCGACTATATGCTATTTCAGGACCTGAGAAAGAGGCCATGAAGGACTATATTGATGCCTCCCTCAAAACAGGCCTTATTCGCCCTTCCTCACCACCAGCAGGAGCGGGGTTTTTTTTTTGTTGGGAAAAAGGATGGGTCTCTTAGGCCCTGTATTGACTACTCGCATCTCAATGACATTACGGTTAAAAACCGGTACCCCCTTCCTCTCATCTCGTCAGCCTTCGAGCAGCTTCAGGGAGCCAAGGTTTTCACCAAGTTAGACCTGCGTAATGCTTATCATTTAGTCAGGATCAGGGAGGGTGATGAATGGAAGACGGGTTTCAACACCCCTTCAGGCCACTATGAATACCGTGTAATGCCATTTGGATTATCAAACGCTCCTGCTGTGTTCCAGGCTATGATCAACGACGTGTTGAGGGAGTTTCTGAACCGTTTCGTTTTTGTATATCTGGACGACATTCTGATCTACTCCCCTGACCTTGACACCCATAAACAACATGTCCGTCAGGTTCTACAAGAGCTGCTCAAGAATAGGTTGTTTGTCAAAGCAGAAAAATGTGAATTCCATGCAGAGACAGTCACTTTCTTGGGCTTCATCATTTCGCCAGGTCAGGTTAGGATGGACCCAGAGAAGGTTAGCGCAGTAGCTTGTTGGCCTACCCCTGACTCTCGTAAGAAAGTGCAGCAGTTTTTAGGCTTTGCAAATTTTTACAGACGTTTTGTGCGGAGGTTCAGTGCTATTGCAGCCCCTCTTCATGTCCTCACGTCCCCTCAAGTGCCTTTTTTGTGGTCTCCTCAGGCTGAGGAGGATTTTTCTCGGCTTAAAGGAATGTTCACCTCTGCTCCCATACTCACCTTGCCGGACACCACTCGTCAGTTTGTGGTAGAAGTGGATGCCTCCAACGAAGGGGTGGGAGCGGTCCTCTCCCAGCGACTACAGAAGGACAACAAACTTCACCCCTGCGCTTTCCTGTCCAGGAAGCTCTCCCCAGCAGAGAGAAATTACGACTTGGGAAACCGTGAGTTGCTGGCCGTGAAGCTGGCACTGGAAGAGTGGAGGCATTGGTTGGAGGGAGCCGAGCATCCTTTCGTGGTTTGGACCGATCACAAAAACTTGGAATATATAAGAAAGGCCAAAAGACTGAACTCCCGCCAGGCTAGGTGGACCTTGTTTTTCAACCGTTTTGACTTTGTTCTTTCCTTCAGGCCGGGGTCTCAGAATGTCAAGCCTGACGCTCTGTCCCGTCTGTTTGACCCTGTGCCTGCAGTCAAGGAGCCGGAACCCATCATCCCATTAAACCGGGTGGTAGGAGCGCTGACTTGGTCAGTAGAGAAGGAGGTAATACGAGCCAATGCTGGAGCTCCTGCACCAAGGGGTTGCCCGCCTAACCGGCTTTTCGTTCAGGAGGCCGAGCGACCACAGGTGATCCACTGGGCTCACACTTCGCTGCTCACCTGTCACCCTGGAGTCAAGAGAACTATGTTCATCATAAAACAACGTTTCTGGTGGACATCCATGGAGAAGGAGGTGAAGGAGTATGTGGAGGCGTGCCCTGTCTGCGCTCGAAACAAGACCTCTTCCGGGGCGCGAATAGGACTATTACAACCACTCCCTATTCCCAACAGACCCTGGTCAGAGATCTCCATGGACTTCGTCACTGGCCTGCCCCTCTCTAGAGGTAAAACCACAGTTCTTACGGTAGTGGACCGTTTTTCTAAAATGACACATTTCATTGCTTTGCCCAAGATGCCCTCAGCGAAGGAAACGGCTGAGGTCATGATGCATAATGTGTTTCGGCTTCATGGTTTCCCAAAGGATATTGTCTCTGACCGGGGCCCCCAGTTTGTGTCACGCTTCTGGAAGGAGTTCTGCCGCCTCATCGGTGCCACGGTCAGTCTCTCGTCAGGATACCATCCGGAGTCTAACAGCCAGACAGAGCGCCTAAATCAAGAACTGGAGACCTGTTTGCGCTGCTTGGTGTCCCAGAATCCATCCTCCTGGAGCGAGCACCTCACCTGGGTTGAGTATGCGCACAACATCCTCCCTACTTCTGCCACGGGCCTGTCCCCATTTCACTGTGTTTATGGCTACCAGCCGCCACTGTTCCCAGCCACGGAGAGGGAGGTCACGGTCCCGTCTGCCCACGCGCTGGTCAGGCGTTGTCGGCGCGTGTGGGCTGCGGCTAGGAAGATCCTCTGCAGGAATTCACAACTGGTGAAAAGAGCAGCAGACCGAAAACGCCGACCAGCTCCTGTATACCAGCCAGGCCAAAAAGTCTGGCTTTCTACACGAGACCTTCCCCTCCACGTACTCTCCCGTAAATTGGCTCCCCGGTTTGTGGGTCCTTTTCCCGTCACCAAGGTCATCAACCCGGTTTCAGTGAGACTACGGCTTCCCAGGTCCATGAAGGTACATCCCACCTTCCATGTAGGGAAACTAAAACCCTTGAAGGAGAGCGCTATGGTTCCCACCGCCAAACCCCCCCCCGCCCCCCCGGATGATTGATGGAGGTCCGGTTTACACCGTCAAGAAGATATTGGCTAGTCGGAAAAGGGGTAGAGGGCGACAGCTACTGGTTGACTGGAAGGGTTATGGTCCTGAGGAGCGGATATGGATTCCTTCCCGCTTCGTCATAGATAAAAGCCTCATTGAGGATTTTGACCGCCTCAACTCAGAGGAGCCTGGGCCGTCAGGAGCCGTCCCTAGAAGGGGGGGGGGTACTGTCATGTCTAGGAAACTAATAGTGAAAGTGTATTCTTTATGTTAGTTTGGTCATGTCCCTTTGCCCTGTGCTTTATGTTTATTCCCTTAATTAATCATTCCTCTCATTTCAGGCCTCCACGCTCCCCGCCCCCTTCTGTCTCCTGCGTCCTTGATTGTTTTCCCCGCCCTGATTGTTTCCACCTGTGTCCCCTTTACCTGTGTATATATTGTGGTAGCTTCCTCCTGTTCATTGTCAGTTCGGTGTCTTACTATGACCCACGTTACTGATTACCTCACGGACTTCCCACGGATCTACCTCATTGATCACTTGCTAGTTTTCCTCGAAAGAGTATATTTGTTTTCCTTGTTTTGATTACTGTGCTAAATTCCAGTAAAGTCTTTATTTTTTGAGAACACTATCTGAGTCGTGCAATTGAGTTCATGCCTCAGAGTCTCTCCTTGACAGGTCCTTGCGTACTAACAATATCCAAAGTGGTCTCCGGTGTCTTTTTGGCTTTTGAAAAAAGCATTACTTTAGTTTATCAACATTTAAAATAATCTTAAACTCCGCGAGCTGCGTCTCTATAATATTAAAAACAACCTGCAATTTAAAAACAGCCTCCTCAATGGAGGGACCTGCACAGTACATCACGGTATCGTCCGCAAACAAATGAAGTTGCTCCATCCACTTGTTGATGTAGATGGAGAATAAAAGTGGACCTAAAACAGAACCTTGAGGAACACCATGAGTAATGTTTAACCACTCAGAGGACAGCCCATCAAAGTGAACACATTGGGACCTTTCAGAGAGGTAGTTCACAAACCACCCACTGCATGGCTGGATATGCCAATACTGGCTAGCCTCTGCTTTAAGATATGATGATCAACGGTATTGAACGCTTTGGAAAGATCAATAAACAGAGATGCACAACTTTTTGTCTAAGATATCTGCAATATCATTCACCACTTTCATTGTGGCAGTGATGGTGCTGTGTTGCTTTCTGAAGCCTGACTGATGTTTACACAGGATGTCATTGTTACATAAAAACACCTTTACCTGTTCACTCACTAGGCGTTCAAGAACCATAGCAAGAACTGACCATTTAGAGATGGGCCTATAATTATTTAATAAAGTAGCCTCCCCACCTTTTAGTAAAGGCAGGACAAAAGCTGACTTCCATATTTTTGGAATTGTGTTTGAGCTGAGGGAGAGATTAAAAAGTAGTAAGAGGTGGAGCAATACAATCTGCAGCTATCTTTAAAAAGAAAGGTTCTACGTTGTCCGGGCCAGCCGGTTTCTTAGGATCTAACTTGGTTAAGGCTTCATGAACAACATGAACAGTAAAAGGAGAGAAACTAAAAGGGTTTTCCAAATCACATTTTTCAGAGTCTGCTTCGGTGGTATTCATGGAGCGCTGGAAATGAACAGAAAACAGATAAAAGCTGTGTTAACTTCCAGGGAAAAAGAGAGTAGTCAAACTAAAGGCATGAGTTATAATCGTTTGAACAGTACTAGTGCTGGAAGCTCCAATAAATGAAAAGAAAACTTTGCTGCCATCTTCTGTGCTCTACCAATAATTACACACAAATCAAAAAGACTACACCTGTTCGGTTTATTGTTAGACTAACAGTCTATCTGTAAATATGAGTCTATAGGTCCTATAGACTATTATATTCAACAATGCTAATACTGTATACATTATAAATCAATGCAATTATAATCAACGTACAGTTGAAATGCAGTTTGAATCTGCACAACGTTTTCACTCTGACACAAAACACATTTTGTTATCTGTTCTTCTCTAAAGTTTTGGTTGACCGTAACTCATAATGCAGACCCACTTTCAAAACAAGTTTAATAATCTTTTTAATCTTGTGTTTTAAATGTTAGACTATGACCACGTACCTGTTGGGTGTTGCTTGTCTCCGTCTCAACGTCTGTAAATCATTAACAGCCTCAAGTCTGTAAATCATTAACAACGTCTGTAAATCATTAACAAGCTCTTGCAGTATCAGGCAAATGACCATCCAAATCATTTCTTAAATCAAAGTTCTTAGAACCCAATATTTTGATATTCTTTTTTGCAACTGTCAGTGCAACTGTCTCAGCAAGAGACATGTCTTGCAAAAGTAGTATAATAGATTAAATGTTAGTTCATCTGTATTCACCATATTGTTTCCGACTTACACTTTGAGCGTCTCCGTTCATAAACATCTGGACTTTGCGCTCACTTGCCAGGTTATAAAATAATACATTGCAATACAATGTGTTCAGTTGAAAAGCAAATGTTCAATGATGAAGATGAGAGGCCTGATCTTTTACTGCAGGGGGCAGGATATCTCTGGTTTGATCAAATCTGCCAGGCTTTCTTTTATTGTGTGATTGGACAGACAGAGGACATCTTGGAAAGACTGCATCATGGCAGGACGTGTTGGAACCCCAAACCACATCCTCTGAGAGGAGGAAACCAACCAAGCTACAGATCAACTGATAGAAAATACCCCCAAGGATGCTTAAGGGTGGGTGAGCACCCCAACCTGACAGACCAAAGGCTAACGACTAAAGGCAACGAACATCCGTCCTGAGTATGACATGCAGATGCAAGAACAAGGTCTGCAAGAACAGCTGAGGCCTAAAGGTTCAACCAGATCCAGAAGAAGTGTTTGAAGGAGAGGAAGGGGCACAACACAGGGATCTTACCTGGTGAGACACAGGAAGAACCAGGACCAGAACCCCTTGAAGTTCCACACAACAGACTCCTGTACAGTGTTGGAGTTCATTGGCCACAGGCCTGCAAGACCACAGTCTGGCATGAGTTTTGACGAGGACCTTGACGAGGTGCTAGTAGCAACTGCTAAGACAGACTTTGATAGTAGACAACAATCGTTGTCAATCTATATGAGGAAAGGTTTGGAGCAGAACCAAGCCCGAGCAAAAGAGCCGCAAAGATCCACAAGATCCAACAGGAGTCCCTAAAGAAGCACATCAGAGAGGCCAGTGGTGAGCAACGTCCCTCTTGACTGAGGACCCTCGTCCAAGTCAGGGATACTCCAACCACCAATCAGGGCCTTCATGGATGGGCTGACTGTCACCACCATCTCAGTGCATGGAAGCATGTGATTCCTGCAAGGAATAGGAACTGATTGTCTGGGAAACATAAGGTTTAAGCCTGGAAGGTTACGGTCGCTGGTGTTGAAGATGGAAAAAGTAATGGACAGGTTCCGTCTCAGCATTTAATGGATAAAAGGTGTATGGGGAGGAGCAAATGTCTTCTGAACAAGTCAAGTCGTGATCTGATCATTAACGCTGAACACAGTTTTCAAAGATGAAACAATTTTGTATCTGAACATTTTAGGGGAAAAAAAACTGAATTTGTCAATTAAATGATCAAATCAGGGAATATTAAACAATATCAATCTCTATTCAGATGATACACTACTCTATGTTACTATCTAATTTCTGATGTATTGATCATGTAGTTCTGCTTATTTCTGATATGTTCATTCAGTATGTGTTTGATGTCACCACATTTTACATTCACTGTATTTTTAGGATGACATTTCTTCCTTCTGTCTAAATCTACTCCTATTCTTTATTATAAATAACCCCAGATAAGACTAAACATTTGATCCCGGTGTTTTTCAGGTGGCTCTGTGATCCTGGAGAGTCCTGTGCTTCCTGTGATGGAGGGAGAATCTGTGACTGATGTATCGGCCATCTTTATAGAAATCATTTGAGAGGATGGAGTAAGTCTTTGTCTTGTTTCTGCAGCTCAGAGTCACAGATTATTTAGCATTATAAAAGAGTAGTTTAGTAAAATATAAAAGCAGTGGCAGCAAAATAAAGTCAGGTTTGTTCACCTCAAAACATGTTTAAACTGTTAAATAAACTTGAATAGTAAAAGTAAAGTGTGTGATTCTACAATTATGAAAAGTAAAACAGTTTGCAGCCCTGATGAGAATTAACTTTATTTATTCTATTGAAAATCCAAAAAAACTATTTTTTAGAATTATGAGTCAAAGCATCTCTATGTTGAAACATTTAATGAACAAATTCAAAAGAAGTTACATGTGCACAGCGTCAGATATTAAAGCAGAAGGTAAAAATAATGCAGTCATGAGAAAATAATATAAATGTGAAAATAGAGAATTTAAAATAAGGACAAAAACATAGTTACTCTTAGAAGAATTAAGTGACATCTGCCACATTCATAGGAAGAACAAAAACTAGGCTACTTAAATACAATGATAGTAAAAACTGCTGCAAAATGAAACACATGTAGTAGTAGGCAATATATGGAAAACTGCTGATTAAAAGTATAAGACCATACCCTTAAAAAATCAATATATGCGCAGAAATCTGGCATTCATGTCCGGCATTCAAACTGTCATGATCTCCTGATGGCAAAAGTGTTTTTAATTTCTGTTTTACTTTAAATGTATGCACCAAGAAACCAAGTCAAATTCCTCGTATGTGTCAACCTACCTGGTAATAAACCTGATTCATATTCTGATAAGACGGCAACAGGGAGAGAAGGGCTTATAGAACAAAAAAAAGTATTCGAATGCCACGTCTTTCCCAACTTGCCCGTCTGGACTTTGCAAGGTAGCATATAAAATGCGACATTGAACGGTAGGGCTGTGCATCTTCACTGGTCTCACGATTCGATTACGATTATCCTGTCAACGATTCGATTCAATTCGATATCCCGATGCATCCCGATTCATACCAATGCGTTGCATCCTCAATTTTCTATATTACTGCACATGGCTTATTTTTCATCATGCAGTAAATACATATGAACTCTCTTTTTATTATTTAGAAAGTGCTTCAGAAATGAATAACATAAATGTCTTAACATTAATTTATAAACCAAAATAAATGAATTGTATAGGTCTAGCCTCCCTATATCTGTGTATGAAGTTGTTCCATCCTCAAAAACAAAAAAATAATGCTTCTGCAGTCTAGCTGCAGCTTCTAGCAACGGTCTTCTGTTAAAAAAAGGACACTGAATGTCCTGAATGTGGCATCACACACAGGACTTGAGTCTGAACACAGCAGACAACAGGAGTATTTACAATAGCATATAACAACTAAAATACTGCATGTGGGTGCACACTTACATTCTCTGTTTTACTGTTACATTAATCCCATGACTGTATGAGATTAAATTAGCTTCATTATATCTCAGTGATTAAGTGAATAATAAAGTTTCTATCAGGTCACTATCAGCCTGTCACTCATTATTTTCAGGGAGGGGGCGGGGTTTGGAGGAACAGAGGATACGGTGATCGCGGAAGCTTTTTTCCTCCTGCCTTAACAAACTTTACACACGTATATATCGTCTGAAAATTGCTAGAGGACATTCATACTCTGCAATCCAAGACTTAATTAAATCCACCAAAAACCTGACATGATTGTAACGCGATTATTTTTGAAAAACATAAATCCCTGTGTCTCTGAGCCGCAGCGACACGGAGTGATTCAGAGCGGGTCCTTCTGCTGTTGGTCTGGACTGGTGGTGTTGTGTTGGTGGATAAAGCAGACTGCTCCGTGTTTGGTGTTGCTGTGCCGCTGTCACGTATGTTCCCTGATCTCTGCGTCACCGACCGATTTGATATTAAAGTGACAGAAAAAAAAACGTTATAGTAAAGCCGTGGCCGGAAAATCAGGAAGCAACGTTACTACGCTATAACCGATTATCTTCCGTCACTGCATCGAGACCGAATCGTCCACGTCCGCATCGCAATGCATCGTAGAAACGATTATTTTCAACACCCCTATTGAACGGTGGAAGAAGGTTTTGTAACATGGATTGTCCTGATGGCTTCCAACTTTAAGAGAATCCATTATGATCTGGGGTCCTTCTTCCTCCAATGGTGGTGACTGGGTCTTTAATATATTATTAGAGAAACTACTCAGCAGATTAATTAACAGTAAAACAAAATCCCTTCAATGCAGCTTAACGAGGCTCTGTTTAACCCGGGACATTGAATATGTAAAAAAAGGAAAAACAATAACATTGAACTGAAGCATAACAAGGCTATAAGAAAACCATGGTTGAAACACAGCTTAGTAGAACATTTCTTTATAGATCAGTAACTATTACAAACATGAATTAAATCAGGAGAAGCAGCATCTCTGTGGCCTTGTGTTGGCATAGTGTGAATGCTGGTTAGAAAAGTAATAACTGTTGGTCAGATTTCTATTTAGAAAGACTCTTAAAATATAACATTACAGCTCTCAGGACATCAGGAGGAGGAAACTGCTAGCTTGGCTCTCAGAGCTGCAATGTGAGCACTCGTGGATTACTTCCTCTAGAAAAGGTTTTCCAACACTCTGCACACCAGTATGGGTTCTTTCCCGTGTGAATAGCATGATGTGTTTTGAGTTTATCTGATCTAATGAATGTGTTCCCACACTCTTCACAGAAAACTAACGGCCGTCACAATGAAGTCAAATAATGAACATGAGATAATATTATATCAGAGTTTCACTAGAACAAGGTTTGTTCCAACAAAACAAGAATGTCACAAATGTATCTTGTCACTTCTCATACCTAACGTGTCTTAGTGTTTTGAATATAATTTGTAAATCCAAAAAAAATACCAAAAAGCAACTCAAACCTTTCAAATTAACCAAAACGTGGAATAAAAACAATTCAGTGAACGTCACACAGAAAAATGTCCAAAGGCTGCGTTATCTAAACCAAAAAAACGTTTTTATTAACCAGAGCACCCACATATAGAGCTAAGTGTGTGAGGACAGCAGGGTTTTGGGAGGTCTGAATGTAGTCCATAAAAAACATGTTTATTAGAACGTTAAGTCACTGTTGGTCAGCTTTACATTTGGAAAAAACAGGGGGAATGCTAGCTTGACTCAAAAAAGGATCAATGTCGAGTGCGCTGGTGGGATCTAAGGGAACTATTCTGAGTAAAGGTTTTCCCACATTGTTCACACCAGTATGGTTTCTCTCCTGTGTGAACACGATGATGGATTGTGAGTTCATTTGATGTAGTGAAAGTTTTTCCACACTCTTCACACTAGTATGGTTTATCTCCTCTGTGAATACGATGATGGATTGTGAGATTACCTGATTGAGTAAACGTTTTCCCACACTCTTCACACCGGTATGGTTTCTCTCCTGTGTGAATACGCTGATGGCTCTTAAAATGACTTGATGTAGTGAATGACTTGTCACACTGGTCACAGCTGAATGGTTTCACTCCTGTGTGAACACGATGATGGAGTGTGAGATTACCTGATAAAGTAAACGTTTTCCCACACTCTTCACACCAGTATGGTTTCTCTCCTGTGTGAATACGATGATGGATTGTGAGATTACCTGATAAAGTAAACGTTTTCCCACACTCTTCACATCGGTATGGTTTCTCTCCTGTGTGAATACGATGATGGCTCTTAAAATGACTTGATGTAGTGAATGACTTGTCACACTGGTCACAGCTGAATGGTTTATCTCCAGTGTGGATTCGATGGTGGGTTTGAAGGTTATATTGTTGAGAAAACGTATTCCCACACAAGTCACAGCTGTATGGTTTCTCTCCAGTATGAATGCGCTGATGAGATGAAAGGTGACTTTTCCGAGCAAAGGTTTTCCCACACTGGTCACAGCTGTACGGTTTCTCGCCAGTGTGAATACGATAATGAGCCTTATATTCACCTGGAGTATGGAACATTTTCCCACACTGGTCACAGCTGTACGGTTTCTCTCCAGTATGAATACGTTGATGAGATGAAAGGTGAGCTTTCTGAGCAAAGGTTTTCCCACACTGGTCACAGCTGTACGGTTTCTCTCCAGTGTGAATGCGCTGATGAATCTTTAAAGTATTAGATCTTGAGAAGGATTTGTTACACTGGTCACAAATGTGAGGTTCGGTTTGCTTTCTTCTTCTCCGTTCCTAAAATATACAGCGAGAGACAAAGAGTCAGTGAGAGACCATCGTGCAGAGATCTACAAAAATAAAACAAGTCTATTTAATTTCATATGACCAAATTATACTTAATCAAATTGATTATGTTTTATTTTATTTCAAATAAGAAATATGACCTTGTTTCTGAATTTTGACTTTCTCAATCATTTTTTATTTTTGAATTTATTTCTGAATTTAATTTAAATTGGACTTTTCTCCACATTTTCCTCAGATTTTTTTTATCTGATTTTTCACATTTTGCAGAAGTAATTGATTATTTTCGGAATTCGGACTAATTCTTTTGACTTTTTTCGTAATATTGTATATTTTTTCATAATACTTACTTTTCTCATGATTTTTACTTTTTCCCCATAACACATTTTGGTAACACTTTATATTAATGTACACAAATTAACCATCAACTAGTTGTTAATGAACATGCATATTAGCAGAATATTGGCTCTTTATTAGTCATTATAAAACACTTATAATGCTATTCAGTTCAATTTTTCCTACTTCCTGTACCCGGTTTCCTGTCTAACCTTCAGTACAAATGTTACAAATATATAAATGTGCAAATATGAAACATGCAGGTCAATATCACCATGCTATTGGTAGCTGAACTGTCAATACCCCAACACATATTCTTAGATATAAATACCTAATTTTGAATTATTTAGACACAATTAACACTTATAGTTTCATGCCTTGTTAATAAGTGTTATTATGGTAGAACTACTATTCTTGTGGTACTACTGTCTTATTAGGCCCATATTGAGCAGAGCATATTAGGACCAAAACTCTTCCTTACTTGCAATAAATAAGCACTAATTAGAGGGTTATTGAGGAAAAACTCTCAACTAATGGCTTATTACTTGTAGAAAATGGTCATGTAGAACAAGGCATTAATAAGTGTTTTATAATGACTAATAACGAGCCAATACACTGCTAATATGCATGTTAATGAACAACTAGTTGATGGTTAATTTGTGTGCCTTAATATAAAGTGTTACCAAATTTCTTCTGACTTTTTTCTAAGAATTCAGACTTTTTCTGAATTTGATTATTGTAACATTTTTAAATCTTGTTTATATTTACATGTTTCAGAATTACGACCTTTATTCAATATTGATATTTTCAAAACTCTAATAAGAATATGAATTTTTCTGAAGTATAATTTTTACTTTCTCAGATTTTTTAAAATCTGAATTCAGCCTTTCAATTTTTTTCTCAAAATGTTGACTAAGGCTCTGGTTTCAGACAGAAGGTGAAAATAGGTGCTGAATCAGAGGAAGTATGAGCAAAATAAAGAGCTTTTTGAACATTAAAGCATGGAGACATGTCACAGTAGAGACACTAAATACTGATATACACCTGAACATCAGCAGGAGAGGACTCTTTAAAGTAGAGACACTACATACTGATATACACCTGAACATCAGCAGGAGAGTACTCTTTAAAGTAGAGACACTACATACTGATATACACCTGAACATCAGCAGGAGAGGACTCTTTAAAGTAGAGACACTACATACTAATATACACCTGAACATCAGCAGGAGAGGACTCTTTAAAGTAGAGACACTACAAACTGATATACACCTGAACATCAGCAGGAGAGGACTCTTTAAAGTAGAGACACTACATACTGATATACACCTGAACATCAGCAGGAGAGGACTCTTTAAAGTAGAGACACTACATACTGATATACACCTGAAACCATATCTAAATATAAGAGTCTGTCAAATAAAACCCACAATGTTCAAGGTTGTTTTCTCATTAAACAAAAGTACAGGTTTAAAGTCTTTAAATAACCCAAATGTCCCCCAGTGTAAGGGATAACAGTAATATATTGTGATGAGGTGAACACTGACCTGAGTTCTGGGGGTCTCTTTGTTCTCCTCCATGCTGCTCTCAGTGCTCCTTCTCCTGCTGGGTCTCTGAAATAAGTATTAACACTACAGTCAACACAAAACCAATCTACAGCTAAGAAGTAGCTTAGCAGCAGAGGTGGGAAGTGCATTTACTCAAGTACTGTACTTAAGTACAACTATAGAGGTACTTGTACTTTACTTCAGTATACATTTTATGCTCTAGTACTTCTACTCCACTCCAGTTCAGAGGTAAATTGTGTACTTTTACTCCACTACATGTATTTAATACCTTTAGTTACTTCTCAGATGTGGATGAATGATGTGAAATCTAATCAAGTGTTAAATCAGACTTTAGTTCCACCTGGAGTAAATCCACAAGCTACCCTGCAGTATACAAAGTCATTCAAACTAGCTGCACCTTTACCAGCTTTGAGAAGACTTTAATGATCAATCATTATAAAACACGTCATATATGTTATTCTGAAATGGACCAATCTGCACTTTTACTCTTGCTACTTTCACTATATATAGTGAAAGTAGCATGATACTTGATGATACTTTTACTCACTTACAATATCTGAGTACTTCTCCCACCTCTGAAATACAGCATTCGTTTCAAAGTACACCAAATCAATTCTGAAGAAGCCTTCTTCTGGTAGGAGGTTTTAACTAGTTGGCTGAGGGTAATCAACATTCTTCAATAGATAGACTTAACAGCTGGGGACACTGAATTAATTGCAGTTGTTGTTTATGGCTTAGAGGATATTACACCTCGGGGTCATGAAAACCCCGAGAAGGATGTGTTCCAGGTGTCCCACAACAATAAACTATCTCTGACTGAGAGTTGCCCCGTCATAAACTGGTAACAACAACAAATGGCAGCCCCCTCCTTGAGGGAGATAGCAGCTGTCCAAGGCTGAGCATCTGTGCCAGAGGGCGAAGGACGACATGCAGGGCAAATTATTCCCTGATTATCGGTATTATAGTAAAAGTGCTAAGAATTATCAGTAGTACAAGTACGTAGTTTTATAGTAAAAGTACTCAGTTTTATCCGTTTTAAAGTACACAGTATTATCAGTATTAAACTATTCAGTGTTACAGTAAACGTACTCAGTATTACCCGGTGTGTCTGCTCCTCGTTGTTCTTCAGTTTGTTGATGTTCACCGACGAACATTAGCCACCTAGCATGAAGCAGCTATTAGCAGATAAGGACCCGGATGAAGAGGTGGCATTGTTCTAAAGCTCTTCTCGTCTCTTCTTCTCCTGAGAGGAACGGGTTGTATTCTAATATGTCACATATATATATTAATGACAGCTGATAGAGACTCCGACTGATGGAAGCTTTACAACAACTGGATCCTGCCTGAGAGCCAACCCAGTCTCACAGCATTTCGTGTTCACCAACACGATTTTTAATCTATTGATTCGTGTTCACCAACACGATTTGCCCCTTTTTTTCGTGTTGCACAGCACGATTTTAAAAGCAATGTATTTCTACTGCCTGCAGCACGTCTTTTTCTCCGGTCGGGTCGAGGAAGACCGGAAGCTGTGTGGTTCATAAAAACATGTTCTTACTCAATATCAAGCCACAGTTATTGCTTTTATTTGAAATCGTATAATTTCGGACTTTTGTTGCCGTCTGTGAGGAAAATAAATGGGGCTCAGAGCCTCAGGATACGGAAATCTGTATTTTTAAATATTTTTTTCCTTCTAATTCGATATTCTTTTCAAAATAACACACTGTTATTTACTCACCAATAACACACAATTATCCTTGCTTTTATTTATTGGTTTAATTCCATAATCTCGGGCTTTTTTGGCGTCCGTCAGGAACTGAATTTCATAATAAAAATAACAATTTCCCCAAATCTGTGGCGGAGAATGGCTGAACCGACGCAGCACACATTTAAATGTATGTAGTGGCGTAGAACATGTGTTGGTAAATATGTTACTTTGTTACATTTGTTTGTTATCACCAAAAATGTGTTCCGTGAAAGTAAAGCAAGTTCATAATTAGATAGACATCGTGAGGTATTTATTTTCGGTACAGTTTATGTTGAAACCGTTAGAGAGAGTGGCACACTTGTTAGCCTGTTCCATTCTTCTTCGTTTTCTGAAGCCGTGGCTTGGAAGTATACTTGCTTCGTTTCTGAAGGAAGTGACTTGGAAGTACGCGACTACCAAGCCAGCATCCTCGCGATTGAGAAACGGCCCGAGTCACTTCCTTCAGAAGGGAGGCAAGAATCCTTCCTGGCATTCGGAAAACGAAGAGTGGAACAGGCTAGTAAGTGTGCAGGTGTGCGTCATATGAGAGGCCCCGCCTTACATTTTCCGCCACAGATTTGGGGAAATTGGTCCGTGCGCAAAGCATTGTGGGGATTTTAAGGACGCAAAGTCTACCCATGTGCAGCCTCGAAATTACCCCCAAACCAAGGACGCGGCCTCGGTGGAATTCCAAGTATGCTGGAGATTGAAACAGTCCTTCGGCGGCACTCGATGACGTAGCATCCTTGAAATATTGGCTTGGAAGCCAGTATGCTCGAGATTGAGAAACGGCCCCTGTCTCTACCTGACCGGAGTCACGCTGTGTGTGTCAGTGGCGGCGCCAGAGATTTTCTCTAGGGGGTGCTGTGGGGTAGCTTGACGTTTCATAGAGGGTGCTCAAACATTTAGGGTTTCCCATTAATGCACCAGCGCTACAGTTGAATTTTCTACTGCAACACTCCCCACGCACGCACACACACACACACACACACACACACACACACACACACACACACACACACACACACACACACACACACACACACACACACACACACACACACACACACACACACACACACACACACACACACACACACACACACACACACACACACACACACACACACACACACACACACACACACACACACACAGTGCACCCGCGACTGTTACAATGAAGGCTCGATAATCAGCTCACGGCATATAGGCAGGGGTAAAGTGCTATTTTTACAAGTGGGGAGCGGACCTCACCTCCTCTAGGAGGGTCCTCACCTCCTCTAGGGGGGTCCGGGGGCTAGCTCCCCCGGGAAGATTTTTTGTTACATATTTAAGTTAAAAGCATCAATCTGGTGCACTTTGAGAGCAACATTAAGAGATCTATGGATACATCTCAACACCCATACGAAACAGAACTGTCAACAGATTTTCTATTTCTTTATAGATATTTTACAAATCACTCCCCTTTTAAAACAAACCGTTTGAGACCCACTGAGATAACTAGACTAAAGTTAACTATCTAAACACTGAGAGAGTCCTTTACTTCACCTGAGTTGAGGTTACCTGAGACTCTCCGTCTGACAGGAGAGAGTTCTCCCTCCACCTTGTTGTTGAAAAAGCTCCTTATATCCATTAGCTTGGCTAGCTAGCACCAGATGCTAACCACAACGATCTCCGGTAGATACCCACTGGTGCGCGAGGCGAGCTCTCTCGCTCGCTCGCTCGCGCACGCACGCACACAAAATGGCTCGTGCCACACACACACACACACACACACACACACACACACACACACACACACACACACACACACACACACACACACACACACACACACACACACACACACACAGAGCAGGGCTTGAATGAAACACAGAGACCCAGAAGTAAGCTACTTGTACTCACGAGGCCTATTATGTGCAGAATCCCTCTCGCTTTCAGTTGGTTTTGATTGAGTGTCCACACGTGGTCGTTTAAGGACTAAAAAACGATCAATTTTTCACTTTGCTGTTCGCAAATCCTTTGGCGCTCTAGCTAACAGGAAGTCAATCAAGTGTCACAAAGTAATTTAGCCTATGGGTAGGTCAAAAATCGAATGGGTGCTGACCATTTGCCTAATCATATCACCTGTGTTGGCTTTATGTTTTTGGTCAAAAATGTGTTTGTTTCACATATGCATTGATGTAATCAATAATATTTCTAATTTAATTTAATAAAAATAATAATAATAATTTTCGAAAAAAAAACAAAAACACATATTTCTTGGGGGTGCTTAGGGGGTGCTTTGGCAATCCTGGGGGGTGCTTCAGCACCCCCTAGCTCCCCCCTGGCGCCGCCCCTGGTGTGTGTCCGTCAGGAAACAATCTGTTTACAAGTAGTTCCAGCAAACATCCACTGATAAACTGCGATGTTAACAACCTCATGATAACCTCATATGTTTTAACCTCATACCTGTGTTTAGTCTAGAAAAAGGTAAATGTGTGCATTTTATTATAAAGTTGTGTATATTTACAGACTGTTGCAAAAACTAAGAAGCTTATAAACATCAGGTTTAAAACTAAAAGAGCTTTGAAACACAATGAAAGATGTTTGGAGTTTTATTTGAGTTATTCATTTTATTTTGTGTCAAAGAGATGCTGATTTGAAACCATTGTTACACACAGTTACGGCATTTCCTGTTTCTGCCGGAGAGAGGGGAGGCCGTCCCAAAGCTTGCTGCTGTGTTTACTCCCTCCATCTGACAGGAGGAGCCTCGTGTGTCACTCCACGGAGTTCGCTCCATCACGGAGGGGTAGGGTGTAGGGGTAGAGGTTCATCATATGAAACTTTTCCTGATATCGTTGCAGCATTGAATGTTGAGTGTGTCATTTATATAATATTTGTAGAAAACTATTGAAATCACATCAGAGACAGGAGAAAAAAAATGTGGTTTAGATTTTAAAAACATATTTGTCTGCAATTGTATTACTTTAATCCAATAGTAGGCTTTGCTTTGACTATGCTCAGCTTTGTGCACGCTGTTTGCTGTTATTGCACTTTCTTGATGAATTCTGTTCTTTATTTACAATATTGAGATAAAAAGAAAAATGTTTGCTAAAAAAGGATATGTGGCATCATTGCACTTTTTTTGTTCTTCTAATAAACATTGTATAGAAATAATATGTTAATGTCAACATCATGACGTTCACATACAATATTGAGATAGAAAAATGTTTTTTTTCTTTGTCAATCAATCAGTCAATGTTTATTTATATAGCCCAATATCACAAATGTTACATTTGTCTCAGTGGACTTCACAGTTTGTACAGAATATCAGTATGACAATATGACACCCTCAGAAGCACTCTGCACAGGAAGAGGAAGTTCTCACTCACATTATGTTTCTGCGTCTCAGTGAGACGCTCAGACAGCAGGAAGACATCATGGAGGTCACAGCGCTCTGCAGCCGACTGCGTGAGGCTCAGCTTTCCTTTAACCTTATTATTTTATATTCAATGCATTGACTTAAAAGTATCTTTATTTGCATACCTAGTGACCTGTGTATTCATTCTGTATGGTGCTCATACTCCAACCCAGTCTCACGGCATTTCTTGTTATAGTCACGACATTTAATCTATCGATTCGTGTTCACCAACACGATTTTCCCCTTTTTTTCGTGTCACACAGAACGATTTGAAAAGCAATGTATTTCTATTGGTAGGATGTTTCGTGCCTGCATCTTTATGTCCGGACGGGTCGTGGAAGACCGGAAGCTGTGGGGTTAATAAAAACATGTTCTTACTCAATATCGAGCCACGATGATTGTTTTTATTTAAAATCGTATAATGTCTGACTTTATTTGTCGTCTGTGAGGAAAATAAATGGGTCAGAGCCTCAGGATACTGAAATCTGTATTTCTTTAAATCTTTTTTTCCTTCTAATTTGTTATTTTTTTCTAAATAACACACTGTTATTTACTCACCAATAACACACCATTATCCTTGTTTTTATTTATTGGTTTGATTCCATAATCTCGGGCTTTTTTGGCATCCGTCAGGAACTGAATTTCAAAATAAAAATAACCGTTTAAATGTCTGTTTCTCAGACACTGCTTTGCAAATGGTCACAGAGAGACTGCAGCTCTTTGAATACACACCCTTCTATTTTCTCTGCGAGGGTCTTGGCTCTGCTCTGAGGGGGTTTAGGAACAACAATGAGTTCATTCAGAGTTGTTATAATATTGCTTCATCAACACTGAACTGCACCATAAATCAGCCTATGATTCAGACAGCGGGGTTTACTGGTGTGAGGATGAGAAAGGAGAGAAGAGCAACTCTGTCAACGTCAAGGTCACCGGTATGTTCATCATATTATATATGTTGTATTATACATGTTTTATTTTTATATGTAGTTATTTTACTTTTTTTTTAAATTTTTTAATGTGTTTATGCATGTACTATAATACACCAAAATAAACTCCTATGTGAAGACCACTTATACATCGATTCTGACCAAGTGTGTCATAAATATGCAGGAAGTGCAATGCCTCAATAAATATGTTGGGATCAGAACCCAGTTTTCAAAGATGAAACTATTTTGTATCTGAACATTTTTAGGAAAATAAAAACTGAATTTATCAATTAATGTCAAGATCACAGGTACAGATCAGAACCCAATAGCACGACTCAGATACAACCAGTGTATAGCAATGTTCAGTTTATTCAGGTCAGGGACAGGCAGGGTCAAAACCAGGAAATCCGTCAGACAGGCAACCAAAACCAGACAGGGAGCAGGCAGGAAATCGAGATCCGTAAACAGGCAGGCAGGGATCAAAAACCGGGCAGGACAAACATCTAGGCTAGAGCACAACACTCACTGGAGAGCTTGGCGAAAACGACAAGACAATCTGGCAAAGGACAAGTGATAGTGAGGTGGTATAAATACTGTGGAGTGATGAGGGAACGAGTAACAGGTGAGGGGAAGGGCTGGGGAGACCAGGTGAGGGAAGTGAGCTGATTACAAGGGCCTGGAGGAAGGCGGGATCTGAAATGACAGGAGAGTTTAGATGAGCCACCAAACAAACAATAATAAAAGTGTCTAACTTGTGACAATTAAATGATCAACTCAGGGAATATTAAACAATATCAATCTCTACTTCTCTATGTTACTATCTAATTTCTGATGTATTGATCATGTAGTTCTGTTTATTTCTGATATGTTCATTCAGTACGTGTATGATGCCACATTTTACATTCACTGTATTTTCAGGATGACATTTCTTCCCTCTGTCTAAATCATCTCCTATTCTTTATTATAAATAACCCCAGATAAGACTAAACATTTGATCCCCATGTTGTTCAGGTGGCTCTGTGATTCTGGAGAGTCCTGTGCTTCCTGTGATGGAGGGAGAATCTGTGACTCTGAGCTGCAGAAACAAGACGACCACTTCCTCCATCCTCTCAGCTGACTTCTATAAAGATGGCCGCCTCATCAGGAGCAGCTCCACAGGAAACATGAACATCTGCAGGGTTTCTAAATCTGATGAAGGACTCTACAAGTGCAGCATCTCTGAAGGTGGAGAATCTCCAGAGAGCTGGCTGACTGTCAGGGTCCCCCTCGCTGCGCCCTCGCTGCGAGGGGGACCCAAGTTCCCATCAGCAGAAACACGTGGGTTTGCTATCCTGGCTCCAAGATGGTGGAATGAGCTCCCCATTGACATCAGGACAGCAGATAGCTTACACATCTTCCGGCGCAAACTGAAAACTCATCTCTTTCGACTCCACTTCGAGCGATAGAACTATTAACGAAGCACTTTTATACTAATAAAGGACTGGCTTATCTAAAGCCAGTTGAGTAGCACTTGAAATGTTTTTGCTCTATGAAGCCTGATGTACTTATATGATTCTGTTTTCTTCAAGTTGTATTTTGTTGGTCGAACGCACTTATTGTAAGTCGCTTTGGATAAAAGCGTCAGCTAAATGCAATGTAATGAGGTGAAAGGATTTGATCTAAGACATGAGTAGCTTCACTGGATATCATACGCTGTCTCTGAATGACTTTGATTGGAGATATCAAACACAAACCTCTCTGGACTCATTCTGCAGCTTCTCCTTCAGGATGGAAACTTCTGTCTCAGCTTCCTCCCTCCTCTTCTGATCCTCCTGAGACTCATTTCTGGAAGATCTCTTCTGTTTAAACTAAAAGACGAGACAGAGGAGATGAAATATCACGTTTGACCAAATGACTCTCAGTAAGTTCATGTTCACAGGTTTCCTCCAGCTCTTCTGCAGCCAGAGATTATAAAGGAAGCTTTATTTAGGTCAGTAAACCAGAAGAGAGTATTGATCGTATTGATCTGAACCCACTGACCCGTGAAGAGGAGGAAGAACTGGCTTCAGCAGCTCGGCTTCTTTCCAGCTGGAGAGAAGGAGAGATGAAGACAGACGTGTTCATGGGTTTTTACATGTTATTATCTCAACAACTAAAACTCTCATTTCACATCATCAGTTCCACTGGAAGCTCTGTGGAGAAGTGCTTCTATGATTAGGTCCGTGTGTTTGTAAAGACTCCTCTCATTGGACATCAAATGACCGAGGAGAAGACTGTAAACATGGAGGTGACCAAACCTGGATTTATAAACTCGTAAAATCTGCTTTGAAATGTTTTTGAATCAAGGGCACATATCTGTGAAACTTCATGTATAGAAACAATGAAGCGTTGAAACCATAATCACATTCAGCAACAGGATTTCTGATTGAACACTCAAGTGACCCAGGATGCTCAACACATCTACAAGTGTATGTGGCTCCTTTGAACTAGAATCAGACTTCATATAAACAGCAAGGTTCATGCAGGAAGTCTAACCTCCGTGTTGATGGACTCCATCAGGGTCTGCAGGCTGGTCTCCATCCTCTGAACCTCCTCCTGCAGCTGCTGGACTTCAGCTTCCTTCACTTCACACTGAGAGGATAACTGAGAGACATGTTTTATCATAAACCTTTGTTCGTATGTATATCAGGGCTAAAGTGACTCATCTGCATCTGTTATGGAAACTAAACTAATGTCTAGTTTACACTGCAGGACTGAACCCTGATTTCTGATTAAAGAGTTAGTCATGGAGTCAAGCAAGCTTTTATACTAGGACCTTTTCTATTGAACTTAGTTATGTTTCCTTTAGGTAAAAATAAAAAGGAAACAGAAGTTCATTTGTATCTTGATAATGACTCAGATACCTAAACTTCCAGCATGCCTTAAGGAAAAAAACTCTTGGGTGACGTGAACATTTATTATACTCTGCCCCAAACACGTCTAGAATCTAAATGTAAATACATCGTTTACTTTCTGCACCAATCCATATAAACTGTACATACAGAGAAGATCAACTGAAAACTATACTTTAGTAACATATTCAAACAGTAACCTCTGTGATGTTGGTGTCTGTTTCCTTCTGTCTGCTCTCCAGCTCCTTCTCCAGTGTGTCCACTTCCTGTTCAGCTTCAGCCTTCTTCTTCTGTTCTTCTTCTCTTTCCGAAGTCTGTATTTTTTAGAGAAAAGTGACTCAACATACTGTTCAATCTTTAAAGTGTTGCACAGTTTTATGTGTTAAACAATCCAGTCTGATTATCTCTTTACAACCTATTAGTGATGTACATTGATATTAAGATAATTGACTTCCTGTTGTGTTTACATTGTTATGTTGACACAACAGGAAGTCAATTATTATTTTAGGTTATCTTATACAATAATAATAATTCATTACATTTATTCAGCGCTTTTCCAAATGCTCAAAGCGCTGACATTACATATGACATATATCAGACATGTAACACATCAATACTGTGGACAATTCCCACAGGAGTGATTTAGGGTGAAGTGCCTTGCCCAAGGATACAGCGGCATGTTGACTGCAGTGGGGGTCAGGGCGGATTGAACCGGTTCCCCAGCGCCCCTGATCTGAGGATCCACAGCCGTGATGCACTAACATCATTTCCACTCACCTGATCATATCTGGAAACGCTGTTTAGGCTCCTCTGAATTCTCCCCAGCTGGTAGAGGAGACACATGAAGAGACACGTGAGCACTACATCACAGCATGTGATCATTATAGATGCTCATACAGTTAGGTGGATCTGTTATGCTCAATGTTACTGAATGGAAGAACATGTATTGAAGTAAACATAGTGCACTACAATTCACTTTGTAAGCCTAAACCTAAGCGTGGCATGCTGTGTCACTGCTCCTGATGACTTGTTTTGGGGTTTCCTCAAATGCTTTTCTGTTTAACAATAAATACAGAATATCAAAGATGGAGACGTGAACCTCTCTGTTCTTGTTCCACAGATCTCCCTTCAGGCTCTGCAGCTCCTTCTCGCTCCTCTGTTTCTCTGCATGGAGATCCTGCAGCTCAGACTGTTTAGATTCAACCTGAAAGAACAGCAGGAAGATTAACATCATTTATTCACAGTCTAAAAGTAGGACAGTCTGGAGTTGGTCTCCACTCGGACCTGCACTGCAGGTTTGACCTTGTCTGCACTAAGGAGGACATTGAAAGAGACTTCAAACAGGAATCAATGTGTTTCATTATTGAAGTGGAGATGAACCTCTTTCTTCTTGTTCTGCAGCTGCTCTTCCAGAGTCTGGACTTCCTTCTCAGCATCCTTCCTCCTCCTCTGCTCCTCAAGCAGCTGCTGCTCAGATTGATTTTTCTATGAGAGGAACAGTCACGTTTCTTTAGTGATCATTTCTTAAGGTGCCACACAATGACACCTGTTTTCATGCATTTATGGCAGATCCTGTATCTTGATGTGAAAGTCTTCTGTGCTTCTTGCTCAGACTTTACTTTTCATGTTGTTGTTTCTCTACTAACCTTTTTGCTCTTCTTTCCGACGTTTCCCTTCAAAGCCTCCATCTGCACAGCGTCAGGTTTCATCAGCTGTACTCTTTCTCCTTCATTGAGAAACTGATCTTCATCCGAACGCTTTCTCTTCGTCTCTGTGTGAAATTAAACGTGTGTTGAGATGTGTTAAAAGAGAATTAGAGGAACTTTAGGAAGGGATCGAAGCACATCAAACTGTTCAGGCTCTGTTGGATATTGTAGCCTTTGCAGACCGTGTACATGCACACAAGCCTACAGAACATACAGCACTCAGCATAATAGGGACTCTTTAATTAACCAAACTGAATCAAATCACCCGACTGTAAGTGACTTACTGAATATGTGTTCTCTCCACAGAAAGAAGAAAGAAACAGCCAGTAACAGAATGCAAACAGCCAAACTGACGGCCAGACCAATAATGATGGAAGAAGACCTGGACTGGAGCTTAAAGAAATCATCTGAAATGATAAAACACAGGGCATCACAGCATTTATGTATAAAATAGGCCTCAGATATTGGAGAATAAAACATGTTAAATGAACAGTTTTTCTACCTGGAAAATGGATTTGCGTCTGTGTGGTGCGGGTGGTGTTGTGGTGCTGGACTCTGCAGGTGAAGCTGTTGCTGGGTCTCTTCTCCACAGTCACTCTGCTGCTGACAGTATAGAGTTCATAAGGACCTCTGACTGTCTCTGGAGGTCCAGCAGAGAGGAGCTTTCCCTCAGCGTCCAGCCACAACACCTCAGGCTCCGGATACCAGCCTGCAGACTCACACTGCAGCACCACTCCTCCGCTCTGACCGTCCAGCCCTGATAAACTGACGACAGGCGGAGAGGAAGAGCCGGATGCTGAAAACAAAGCAGGAAAAAGAGGAAGTATTTGATATCTGATAGCCGGTGAGGAGATGGCACAGAAACATACGTTATTGTTGTAATCCTTGAGCAATGTACAGCCTCAATTTCTATCCAGATCCACATGTAAGCTGCTGCAGCCACAGCCAAGGATAAGGGTTAGGCTGCAGCGTGTCATCCGCTCTGCAGAGAAGGTGATCGGCTGCAATCTGCCATCCCTCCACGTCCTGCATGCCTCCAGGACCCTGAGGTGGGCAGGGAAGATAGTGGCCGACCCCTCCCACCCTGGACACAAACTGTTCACCCCCCTCCCCTCTGGCAGGAGGCTGCGCTCCATCAGGACCCGAACCTCTCGCCACCTGAACAGTTTCTTCCCCTCCGCTACCGGCCTCTTAAACAAGGCCCCCCCACTGACACTTTACCTCAGCCACATCACAGACTCTATGCATCACATTAATACACACACAAATGTACAACATTATTTTGTATTACAGCTGATTTGTATTCCATATGTTATTCCTCTATTTCATTCCATTGCAATGTAAATACTGTTATATTGTACTATATATTTTCAATTTTTTTTTATAGTTCTCTTCCTGTGTTTTTAATTCTTGTTTTTATGCACCACGACATCAAGTCAAATTCCTCGTACGTGTAAACCTACCTGGTAATAAACCTGCTTCTCATTCTGATTCCGATTTGACATCTCACTAGAACATGCAGTACGCTAAGCAGGAAACTCCTTAAAGGCAAACAAAATAGACTAGAGTATTACATATTCAGAGTCTCTTGAAACACAGAGATGCTATAACTATAATCCTTTCCTAGAGGTAAAAGTAGGGACTTATCTAAACATGCACCATGAACACATACGTAGGCCTACATAACGCACTTACCAAAAACAAGTTGAACAAAAGCTTGCCTGCCCAGTTCTGGAATGAAACATCTGTATTTCCCCCGATCTGAGAAATTAACATTGGAGAGTTTCATGGAAATGTTTCCGTTCTTCAGCTCATCGGTGAACATTGAGGTTCTTCCCTTGAATAATTGGTGTTTTTTATCCACCATTTCGCGACCAGAACGCATCACATGGACGAATCTGGGGTCCATGTCGGGCCTCGTCCACTCCAACGTCAAACCAGCAGCATTTACTGCCGGCTCCAGATAACACGGCAAAATGATGTCATCACCAAGGTTTGCTACTATTGGCTGAGATGAGCCAATCAGCTGAGACTGACCTGGAAATTCAAAGGAAGTATATTATATAACGTAACCCGTGGCGGTAGACTTTGGCTAATCGTAGGTTTTTAAAGGCCGTTCTCCATATTCCCATTGGCAACAGCTGCTTACAAAAGCAACACAAAAAATAGCTCAAGAAAAAAAGGTTTCAAACAAATGTTGCTAATGGTTTAGCTCCTGTGCACAGCTTAGTCATGGGTTGTAAGCTAACGTTAGCCTCACGGCTAAATTACGGCTAAAGGATTAGCAATGTTTTTCTTTATCTCTGAAAAGCTTTTCAATATTGAACCGAGTCTCAATTCCCATAATGTCATGTCAAAATGCTTTTTGTACCAGTTTGCAAAGAAAAACAATCACAACATTGATGGACTGTTTTCTCTAATTGTTACAGATATTTTGTGTTTTCCAGTAGCAACATATATTGGGGTACCACCAGTCTATGGGTACCACTTGCATGACAATACACTTGAAGGTCATTACTGAATTTTTGCCTGATTATGCCAAATATAAACGGCAGCTGCCACCTCAGAAAAATGCCTTGCCACCCCAGCTGCCACCCCAGTTGGCAGCTTTGTTTTGAAAGAAAAGTTGTGGCTCATCGGACATTTATGAGAGAAAGTCTCTAATGTCCGAGTGCAAGTGCAGCACAAGACGCGCCTTTTAACCCCTCCCCCGGCCCTGGCGCGAGCCTGGAAATATGATTGGCGGCGATTTCATTTGAACGGGGGGACAGCGCAAAACGAGAAGCATTCGGACCCAAGAAGACGGAAGGAATGAGGTATTTGCGGTCTACAATGACAGAGAAGAGCCTGTCAAGTTTGGCTGCAAGGCAAGTCTATTTATATAGCACTTTTCTGTATGCGACAATTCAAAGTGCTTTACAAAACAAATTTAAAGACTTTTTAGGAATACATACTGTAAAAACACATATAACGGCATTTTACAGGCATTACAAAGCAAAGATAATAAAATAATAAAAATAAACACCACAGGTATACAATATATGTTTAAAAGGCATACTGTAGTTTGAATATGAGCAGCTCAATTAAAAGAAGCCAGAGATATGTTTTTAGTCTCGATTTAAAAATAGTAAGCGTTTCTGCGGACGTGCATGCTTTGGGTAGTTTGTTCCAGATTGTCGGGCATAATAGCTAAATGCTGCCTCTCCATGTTTTGTTGTTACTCTCGGAACCGATAGCAGATCCGTCCCAGAAGACCTGAGGCACCTTGATGGCTCGTAATTATGTAGGAGTTCAACAATATACTTTGGTCCTGTAATGATTTAAAAACTAGCAATAGTACTTTAAAATCAATTATTTGGCCGACTGGAAGCCAATGTAAAGATTTCAGAACCGGACTGATGTGATCCACTCTTTTAGTGTTAGTGAGGACACGTGCAGCAGCGTTCTGGATCAGCTGCAGCTTTCTGATGGATTGTTTTGTCAGCCCTGTGAATACACTATTGCAGTAGTCGAGTGAGTCTACTGAAGATAAAAGCATGGACAAGTTTTTCTAAGTCCTGTTGTGACATTAGTTTTTTAATCCTCGATATGTTCTTCAGGCTGTACTCAGCATTGAATCAAAACGCACCATAGCTTTTAGATCTTAATAAGTTTGTGAGGCGTTTTGCTGATCAAAATGGTAATCGCCACATTCAGCTGTTATAGGCATGCCAGCTTGATGCTCTGCTCACGGATGAGTCGATGAGAATAATAAACTGTTAAGATGATGACCTTACGTGTGTATAATATGTTTCTTCTTTGTGGGGTTCTGCCCCCAAAAACAGTTTCAAGTCCTGAGAAAGTCAAATAAGACAGTGTGGGTTACGACCCTGGTCGTTATGTGTATTGTGCGTAGAGATTTCCTTCAAGTCTTTTAGTCCTTCAGAATTATTAGGTAGGTTTAGTAGTAGTTTAGTAGTAGTAGGCATGGTTAACAAAACTGTGAGTTTGTGTCTTAAGGGGGGGGGGGTGTCACGGCTGCTGCTGCTGCTGCTGTCTGCTCGTTAACCTGTCTGGGATTGTTTTCAGCTGTGTATGTTATATGTATATGAGATGTGCCGTTGTCCGGACGCCATTGGATGCCAGTTTCCTGTCCCTCCTCCGGTAGGCGTGACCGAAGATCTGGATTGGAGCAGGTCGGGCCCGACTCACCAATCCCTGCCCACACCTTCCGGGGACTCTTACAAGAGTGTGTGCATCTCAGTTAGACAGGAGAGGTCTGAATCTGTGTCAGACGGCTCTCGGTGCTCTCCTTATGTTCTCTGTGTAGCTCTGTGCTAGTTCTGCTACAGTGGTTAGTTAGGGTGTGTGCTTAAGTGTGTATTCTGTGATTTGTGACGGCGTCGAACTTGTGCGAGACGCCTCACTATTTTAGCCTTAAGTGCCCATAGTGCGCTATGACTGTGATAATCTGTGGCCTTTGTTTTGTGTAGCGTTATTTGTGAACAGATAGCTGGTTTTAAGAGCCTGCATTTTTGGTTATATCATCTTTATTTTGAGTTTATTATTAAAATCAACCTCTTACCAAGAACACCTGGTTTCGTGTTGCTTCCCTTTTACCGTAAGCGAGCTGGGGACGTAACAGTGTGTAAAACTACACTGCCCAGCCAAAAGAAAGTAACCACTTTGATTTAACTAGGCCAATAGGTAAGGGCTTTCCACTGGATAATAACTGCAGCGATGTATATGTTTGAGCTGAATACACGTTTTTTAACCCTAACTGATGCAGTTAGTCACTTCTTTAATGTTTGTTCTTTCTGATGTAAAGTCAAGGTTGTAACTGTTTGCAATGAAGTTGTGGGGCGCTGAACTGTTTTTTTTATTCTTTTGATTTATGATAGTAATTACTTGTCTTTCAAATTTGAAGGAGGGTGAGCAAGCATCTTGAGGAACATTCATCGTTATCTCCTCCAAAAAATATAGTTTATTTAATAATAACACTGAATATGTGAATCATAACAGTAATTGACAGCTGATAGGAATAATATGATTGTTAATATTATCATATTCATTCAGACAAGCATCGATGAGACGGTTAATTAATGTACTTATTGCAGCAGTCTGCATAGATTTGGTACCCCTGCTGGTCTTAGAGTGAAACAAACTCATTCAGTTATTGTTCAGTTAAAATTAATTAAATGATGTGTGCCATCTTATATATTTATATGTAAGGCTTTACTGATGTGCCACAATAATGTCATCTAATGTTATTGAGTTAAATATTAATATTGTTGCTTTCCAAGTTAACATTGATTGATATGACTGCGATTAAATCAGCATATACTTCTGCCAGGGGATGCCACCCCTGAAATTCTCCTGCCACCCCATGAATATTTGTCTAGGTCCGCCCCTGCGTCTTCCCAATGCTGTAAGTGTGACTCTGAAAAGCTTGTCGATATTGTACCGAGCCTCTATTCCCATAATGTCAAAATGCTTTATAGTACCAGTTTGCAAAGAAAAACAATCACGACATTGATGGACTGTTTTCTGTAATTGTTAGTTATTTAGCGTTTTACAGTAACAGCATCTATTGGGGTACCACTTGCACGACAACATGCTTAAAGGTCTTTACTGAATGTTTGCCTAAATATGCAAAAATATAAACGTCTTCCCAAAGCTCTAAGTGTGACTTTTGAAGATTGTATTTGTTACTTACCTCTACAGTAGTTCGTTAGGAGAAGAAGGAAAACCAAAACACTGAGAGTTCCCAGATGAGTTTTAAGGGGCTTTCCGTCTGTGTTTAACATCATCATGGAGAACTGCAAATGAACAGAAAACAGTGAAAGCAGACTGAACTTCCAGGACAACATGTTTTAAAACAATTCTTTCGGTAACACGTTTTAAAAAGGCTGGACAAAAAGTGGTCAATCCAAAGGTCTGAGTTATAAACTGAATTTTACCTTTGGGCATTATTTGTACTTGAGGCTCCAATAAATGGAAAAAATACTTTATCACCATCTTCTTTGCTCTACTTATAATTTACATACCTTATTTCATTATATTATTTCCTCTATTTAAGACATATAATGATAATTTAGTTACACTAGTAGACTAAAGACTCTGCACACAAAACCCAGTTCAGTGTTATGACTATCACCAAGTCTGTACACAGTTTTCACTCGGACACAAACGCATGAAATACATTTTCTTATCTGATCTAATCTAAAATTGTGGTTCACCAAAACTCAATATTCAGACTTTTCATGAAAAAGGTTTTGAATCTATTTTATCTTATGTATTAAATGTTAACACATTGAAGAACACATACCTGTTGAATGTTTCGTCTCACCGTCTCTGACTGCGAGGACAAGTCAGTAAATCATTGACAGCCTCATGCAGATTATGAAGCAAATAGAGTAACGCCTAATTCATTTTTCTTCACCAAACTTCTTTACGGTCAATGTTATGCTTACTATTTTTTGTGTGTGCAAATGTTTCTCCAGCAGCAAGAGGCATTTTCTACAAAAGTTGTGTAGAATATTCAAGTTTAGCTGAAATCTATCCACTGAATTGTTATCTGAGTTTCACTTTGAGTGTCTGGGTTCATGAACATCTAAACTTTGGATTCAGTGTCTTGGTTACAGGTTATAAATTAATACATGGCAATAAAATCAGTTGCGATGGACCTTTGAATTGTTTTATTGTGGCAACGGTTGAAAGACAGTTCTCTATTAAGACAGATGACATGTCTGATCTTTAACTGCAGGGGGCGGGACTTTCATTACATTACATGTCATTAGTTAGACGCTTTTATTCAAAGCGACATACATTCAGTACTGTGGACAATCCCCACAGGAGCAATTTGGGGTGAAGTGTCCCAGGGACACAACGACATGCTGACTGCAGTGGGACTCAAACTTGCTATCCCCTGATTCGAAGTCCAGCACACTATCCACTGAGCCACAGCTTTCAGTTTGTATAACATCTGTCAGACTTTCTACTGGTGTGTGTGTGTGTGTGTGTTTGTGGGGTGTGTAGGTGTGTGACTGGCAAAGACTGAACAATAAATTCATTGAGATGAAGCACAAAAAAAGATAGCAGGATTTGTCAGAAGGGCTAGTTATGATTTCACACCTTGACCAAAAAAAAAGTTTGTCTTCTGTATGAAGCACCAGAAACTAGAAAGTTAGAATAATTTAAAGCCTTTGCCGTATCAGCTGATTTGGCGTATTACAAGCCAATGCACCTGCAGGATTCTTGCTTTTTTGGGTTTGAATCTTCATGGTTGAGTGCACATATAATAAAGCGTTTTAAGTAAAAGTGGCAGAAAATGCCAATAAAATGTGATGTACTGTCACATATTAAACTCTGATGAGGCTGTGTGCATGGCCCTCCTGCTTGTGATGCAGAAACCCACCAGCAGGAGGTTCAGTTTGTGTGTCTGGTTTAAGGATGGTACCCACTTGAATGAATCTTCTTGTTTTGAGTTTGTTTCCTCGTGATGTAATGCTCTTATTATAAGTAGCTGTGGATAAAATTATCAGCTAAATAACAACAATGTCCTTGACTGCTGGATGGAAGTGTTTCGTTACCACACGAGTGTAATTTTGATGCCTCCTGATAACAAAAAAAAAGAATCAGAAAAACATGATTTGGTCTTTAAAGACAGTGGAATATACTATCTTTATTTACATTATACTTATTATGTACTCATGTTATCTGAAGGATTCATCCAGAGCTCTGAGCTGAAACCACAGAGAGTCTGACCCCAGCCTCAGAAGCACTCGGCACAGGAAGAAGAAGTTCTCACTCACATTATATTTCTGTGTCTCTCAGTGAGACGCTCAGACAGCAGGAAGACATCATGGAGGTCACAGCGCTCTGCAGCCGACTGCGTGAGTCTCAGATTATACACTATTCACTTTTACATTTTTCACAAATACTTTTTGCTAATAAAACGTTGTCTTTATCTGCAAATCTAGTGACGTGTGTGATCATACTGTTGGGTGCATATATTCAGAAAGGCTCTTGTGGGTAGAAACTACTAAAGATTCACATGCTCATGTTAATGGAAATACCAGTGTGTCCGTGCATTGTGTTAAAATAGAGCAATTATCCTTTTTGGTATTCTTTATATATCAGATGTTTTATTCTCTCTGTCCTCAGACGCAGCTTTGCTCATCGTCACAGAGAGACTGCAGCTCTTTGAATACCTTCTCTTTTCTCTACGAGGGTCTTGGCTCTGTTCTGAGGGGGTTTGGGAACAGCAATGAGTTCATTCAGGGTTGTTATAATATTGCTTCATCAACACTGAACTGCACCATTCAACAGGCCTATGATTCAGACAGCGGGGTTTATCAGAATCAGGTTTATTACCAAGTAGGTTCACATGTACGAGGAATTTTACTTTGTCTCATGGTGCATACAGACACATTTGTATTAAATAACACAGATAGGTCCTGATGGAGAGGTTCTGGTCCTGATGGAGAGGTTCTGGTCCTGATGGAGAGAGGTGTTGTTCCTGATGGAGAGAGGTTCTGGTCCTGATAGAGAGAGGTTCTGGTCCTGATGGAGAGAAGTGTTGGTCCTGATGGAGAGAGGTTTTGGTCCTGATGGAGAGGTTCTGGTCCTGATGGAGAGAGGTTCTGGTCCTGATGGAGAGAGGTTCTGGTCCTGATGGAGAGAGGTGTTGGTCCTGATGGAGAGAGGTTTTGGTCCTGATGGAGCGCAGCCTCCTGCCAGAGGGGAGGGGGGTGAACAGTTTGTGACCAGGGTGGGAGGGCCGGCCGGCCACTCTTGTGAGGACGAAAAAGGAGAGAAGAGCAGTTTACTGTACACTTCAAATACCTTTCTGCACAAAATGAGGACCGTGAAGTGTACAAGTCATGCCCCCACAATGAAGCTGATGCAGGGGTATGACTGGTCCACTTCACAGACATCATTTTGTGCAGAAATAGGTGCAGGCTCTCAGGTATCTTAAATGTACAGGATCATATATCAACAATGCCTTGACACAGGGAGCAGATACTTGTACAGTGCTGTGTAGGCCACCCTATGATTTATTAGTGTGAACATTGAGAGAATTGGACAATGTCAAATATTTAGCTTTTTCAGGACCCTGTAATGTTGGTACAGGGACACGGGCATATCTCAATGATTCCTTTACACAGGGACCTGATACTTGGACTGTGCTATTTTATCCACCCCCTAATTAATTGGTGTGAAAATGGAGACAATAATAATAACCATTCAAAACATGTTTTCCTTAAAATGTGGTGAACATATCTTTATTTTATATATTGTTATAAAAATACACTTTTCTTCAGTCAAAAACATTATTATGAAAGGCGATAATATGGAAATTAACAGAATGAAAGGTTTTGAGTTTACTGGATTTGAAATGTATATACGATCATTACAGACCTTATGAATTGTGTATTGTTGCCATTGTATACTGTACAAATATAATATGCCACTCTATTTTCTGCTATGAAGATATAAACAATTTAAAATGGTATTTTACTTTGAAAGGTTTGGATGCTCATGTACAGCTTTGACATTTTCTTTGGGAAATTCCCACTTCCAAATATGTTTTTTATCCTGTCAATTAAATCAACAATATATTAAATACAAATCTAGTATTTGTAATTTGATTTGTGAGTTTTTTTTACAACTTCAGTTACCCTATAAAACCAAATACATTGTTCTGTTTCTACAAAGCCTCTTAAAAGCCTCTTCTACATATACACATACATTTAAATAAAAACATGTTCTGTGGGTTGTGTCTGAGAAGCTGAAAGTATCTGGAGGCTAAAATAAAACTCAGAACAACAAACACTCAGCTCGCCTTTTAAAATAAATGCATGTGTCAGTCAGTACCTCTGTGGTTTTTAACTTTGTCTTGAGTGTGAGAAAGTCTAAAAGCTGCTGCTCGTACCATCATGAGACACAGAGAAGTTACCTCACATTCAACCTGAGCAAAAGAAGAGATCAAAAAACGCTGAAGAAGTGATCATGTCCTCGGCTCGTGGTGTTCATTGTGTTGATGACCAAACTATCTCTGATCTTTTTACATGAGTTATTTCTGTGTGACCCTGAGTTTCCCACAATGCAGCAGTCCCACCAGCAGCAGCAGCAGCAGCAGCAGAGCCACCATCACTACGGTGAACACAGTCCTTGAGACGAGGAGGACGAGAAGGGAGTGATCCGAGGAGGGAACAGCTGCAAACACAACACAACGTGAATAAACTATAATAAAAAACTCCACATATATTCTCCAAATGTAAACTACAATGCAATATCTCACCTCTGACAGCCAGCCGGCTCTCTGGTGATTCTCCACCTTCAGAGATGCTGCACTTGTAGAGTCCTTCATCAGATTTAGAAACCCTGTGGATGGTGATGTTTCCTGTAGAGCTGCGCCTGATGAGGCGGCCATCTTTATAGAAGTCAGCTGACAGGATGGAGGAAGTGGTCATCTTGTTCCTGCAGCTCAGAGTCACAGATTCTCCCTCCATCACAGGAAGCACAGGACTCTCCAGGATCACAGAGCCAGCTGAAAAACAACGGGATCAAACGTTCAGTTTTGTCCATCCATCCATCCATCTTCTTCCGCTTATCCGTGGTCGGGTCGCGGGGGTAGCAGTTCCAGCAGAGAGCCCCAAACTTTCTTTTCCCTGGCGACATCAACCAGCTCTGACTGGGGGATCCCAAGGCGCTCCCAGGCCAGCGAAGAGATATAATCCCTCCACCTGGTCCTAGGTCTACCCCTTGGTCTCTTCCCAGCTGGACGTGCCTGGAACACCTCCCTAGGGAGGCGCCCAGGTGGCATCCTAACTAGGTGCCCGAACCACCTCAACTGGCTCCTTTCGACGCGAAGGAGGAGCGGCTCAACTCCGAGTCCCTCCCTGATGACCGAACTTCTCACCTTATCCCTAAGGGAGACACCAGCCACCCTGCGGAGAAAACCCATCTCGGCCGCTTGTATACGCGATCTCGTTCTTTCGGTCATGACCCATCCTTCATGACCATAGGTGAGGGTAGGAACGAAAATGGCCCGGTAGACAGAGAGCTTTGCCTTCTGGCTCAGCTCCCTTTTCGTCACAACGGTGCGGTAAAGCGACTGCAGTACCGCTCCCGCTGCTCCGATTCTCCGGCCCATCTCACGCTCCATTGTTCCCTCACTCGAGAACAAGACCCCGAGATACTTGAACTCCTTCACTTGGGGTAAGGACTCATTCCCTACTTGAAGTGGACAGTCCATCGGTTTCCTGCTGAGAACCATGGCCTCAGATTTGGAGGTGCTGATCCTCATCCCAGCCGCTTCACACTCGGTTGCGAACCGATCCAGTGAGTGCTGAAGGTCGCAGACCGATGAAGCCATTAGAACCACATCATCTGCAAAAAGCAGTGGTGCAATCCTTAGTCCACCGAACTGCAGACCCCCTCCCCCATGACTACGCCTCGAAATCCGATCCATGTATATTACAAACAGGATTGGTGACAAAGCGCAGCCCTGACGGAGGCCAACCCTCACCGGAAATGGGTCCGACTTACTGCCGAGGACCCGGACACAGCTCTCGCTTTGGGAGTACAGAGATTGGATGGCCCTGAGTAGAGACCCCCCTCACCCCATACTCCCGCAGCACCTCCCACAGTAACTCCCTGGGAACTCGGTCATACGCCTTCTCCAAGTCCACAAAACACATGTAGACCGGATAAGCGTACTCCCAGGCCCCCTCCAGGATCCTTGCGAGAGTAAAAAGCTGATCCGTCGTTCCACGACCAGGACGGAATCCGCATTGTTCCTCCTCAATCTGAGGTTCGACAATCGGCCTGACCCTCCTTTCGAGTACCTTAGAGTAAACTTTCCCGGGGAGGCTGAGTAGTGTGATGCCTCTGTAATTGGCACACACCCTCTGATCCCCCTTTTTAAAAAGGGGGACCACCACCCCAGTCTGCCACTCCTTCGGCACTGTTTCCGACTTCCACGCAACGTTGATGAGACGTGTCAACCATGACAGTCCCTCAACACCCAGAGCCTTCAGCATTTCCGGGCGGATCTCATCCACCCCCGGGGCTTTGCCACTGTGGAGTTGTTTGACGACCTCAGTGACCTCCCCCCGGGAGATTGGTGTCGATCCCCCGTCATACTCCAGCTCTGCCTCTAACATAGAGGGCGGAGTTGTCGGGTTCAGGAGTTCCTCAAAGTGTTCCTTCCAACGCCCTAACACTCCATCAGTTGAGGTCAACAACGTCCCATCCTTACTGTACACAGCTTGGATGGTTCCCTGCTTCCCCCTCCTGAGGTGTCGGACAGTTTTCCAGAACAACTTTGGTGCCGCCCGAAAGTCCTTCTCCATGTCTTCTCCGAACTTCTCCCACACCCGCTGCTTTGCCTCGGCCACGGATGAGGCTGCTGCCCTTCGGGCCTGTCGGTACCTTGCAACTGCCTCGGGAGTCCCCCGGGATAACAAATCCCTGAAGGCCTCCTTCTTCAGTCGGACGGCTTCCCTGACCACCGGTGTCCACCAGGAGGTTCGAGGGTTACCGCCCCTTGAGGCACCTAGGACCTTGAGACCACAGCTCCCCGCCGCGGCTTCGGCAATAGAGGCTTTGAACACCGACCACTCTGGTTCAATGTCCCCAACCTCCACAGGAATGCCCGAAAAGCTCCGCCGGAGGTGTGAGTTGAAGGCCTCCTGAACTTGGGCCTCCTCCAGACGTTCCCAGTTCACCCGAACTACACGTTTGGGCTTACCAGGTCTATCCAGAGGCTTCCCCCGCCACTCGACCCAACTCACCACCAGATGGTGATCAGTTGATAACTCCGCCCCTCTCTTTACCCGAGTGTCCAAAACATACGGCCTCAGGTCCGATGATACGATAACGAAATCGATCATGGACCTTCTGCCTAGGGTGCTCTGGTACCACGTACACTTATGAGCATCCTTATGTTCGAACATGGTGTTTGTTATGGCCAATCCATGACTAGCACAGAAGTCCAGTAACAAACCACCACTCCGGTTCAGATCAGGGGGGCCGTTCCTCCCAATCACGCCCCTCCAAGTGTCTCCATCATTGCCCACATGTGCGTTGAAGTCTCCCAGCAAGATTAAAGAGTCCCCTTCAGGAGCCCCATACAGGACTCTTTCCAGGGTCTCCAAGAAGGCCGTATACTCTGAACTGCTGTTGGGTGCATAAGCACACACAACAGTCAGAGTTTTCCCCCCCATAACCCGCAGGCGTAGGGAGGCGACCCTCTCGTCCACTGGGGTAAACTCCAACAACGAAGCACCTAACCGGGGACTTGTGAGTATCCCCACACCCGCCCGGCGCCTCACACCTTGAGCAACTCCGGAGAAGAATAGAGTCCAACCCCTATCCAGAAGTAAGGTTCCAGAGCCGACGCTGTGCGTAGAGGTGAGCCCAACCAGATCCAACTGGTAACGCTCCACCTCCCGCACAAGCTCCGGCTCCTTCCCCCCCAGAGAGGTGACGTTCCACGTCCCCAAAGCCAGCTTCTGTCGCCCGGGTCTGGTCCGTCGAGACCCTCCGCTTTCACTGCCACCCTTCTGGCAGCGCACCCGACCCCATCGATGTTTCCCGTAGGTGGTGGGCCCGCGGGACGGAGAAGCGGAGGTGTTGCCCACGTTGCCTTTTCGGGCTGGGCCCGGCCGGGCTCCGTGGCAAGCCCGGCCACCAGACGCTCGCCGACGAGTCCTCCTTCTGGGCCTGGCTCCAGAAGGGGACCCCGGGCTTCCTCCGGGCCGGGTATCCTCACTTCTTAGTTTTTCTTTCATGAGGTCTTTTGAACCAATCTTAGTCTGGCCCCTTGCCTGAGACCAATTTGCCATGGGAGACCCTACCAGGAACACAAGGTTCCAGACAACACAGCCCCCAGGTTCATCAGGGCACACAAACCTCTCTACCACGGTAAGGTGCTGGTTCTTCAGAGAGGCTCAGTTTTGTAGTATGAGTTATTTACAATAAAACAATTGTTAATTTAGACGAAGGCATTGTGAAGATACTGTGACTGTAGTCTGGTTGTAACATGCCAACAATTATTGAAAATAACACATTGATGAATTAATCAGAATTCAAACAGTTAAGTATCTCGTGCCCTCATTGGTCATGATCGCGTTCGTGTGTGTTGGAGGAGGGGCTCTGTAAGGAAGTGGCAGATTTTTTCCGGCTGTGTATTTTCAAATTCTAGCGCACTCGAGCTGGTTTCTCCAAAATTACCTACCCCACCTTTAATTCTGTTCTCTATTTACAATATTGAGATAGAAACATTTTTTTTGCTAAAAAATGTATGTTTATTATATAATATATAGTTTAACCTTGGCATCATTGCACTTTTTTTGTTCTTCTAACAAACATTGTATAGAATCACGTTTATTGCTAAGTTGTTTTCCACATACAGGGAACTTGTCTTCTTGTTTAATATTTCATACATACACACAGAAAGAGATTGTTGCTGAGTTAATGTCAACATACCGGTGACAATGACGTTCACATAGGTGCTTTTCTTCCCTCTAGCCTCACACCAGTAATCTCCACTGTCCTCTTTATAAGGAGATGTAATGGTGCAAGTAGTCTCATTCAATGAACCCCATATTGAGCCGTCACAAGTTTTCTTTCCTGCTTTGTTCCGCCGTGAAATGTTCACATCGGTCAAACCATCGAAGCCCACACATCTTAAAGAGAAAGGCTCGTATTCAAAGACCTGAAGTCTGGATGGTTCGATCCAAACATCTGCATCTGAAACTGAGAAATAAACGTGTTGTTGAGATTAATATATACCACTTTAAATAAAGTTATGATTTTTTTTTGCTTTATTTTTGGTAAACAAGCTTCTTACCAACTTTCTGTTCACAGAGCTGCAGAAACACCGTCATCCCTGCAGAGACAACAGAGACAAACATCACACAGAGTTCTTATATTAGATGTTATTACCTTGACTTTATTGTTTACATGTATCTTTGATAGATAATACTTGAAAAACAATCTTAAAATGTTAATCATTTGTATTTATTTATATGGAGGTAGATTTGTCTCTCAATTATGTCTTTGGACGGATCAACAACCCGTGTGTAAATGTAAAAAAACATCCACAAATTCCCAAAAGGATTTGTAAAATCACAAAAATATGAATGGAAATGTGTAAAGAATTTATAAAATGCACGTCAAGCAGCAATTATTTTTCAGACTGCATCTAAAAATGCTTGAAACCCCGTCATCGTCCCAAAATGGCAGTGACACGCGTAGACTTTTTTTACATTTACACACGGGTTAGTGATCTGTTCTCACAAATAATATTGACACACATCTAACTACATATGTTCCATCAGCTAATATGATCTATGAACATCTTGTATGTGAAAAACAGCAGATGAGGACTCAGTACTCACACAGTGTGATGCAGAGCGCTGTGGCCTCCATGGCGTCTGGCTGCTGACTGAGTGAACCTCACACTGAAATATAAAAGAAGAAGAGGGGTGGTCTCTTCCTGTGTGGCTCACTAATGAAACGCCTTGTAGCTCAGACGCGTGTCATGGAAGGAAATACGTGTCAGTGGTGGGGTTAATATTAGAGGCTGAGGCCAAAACTCTCATGTGAGAAAGACCACTTTACGTCTTGATGTGTAGAACAGACAAAAAGCATTATGACGGAAACATACATTTTAAATACATACAACTACTGACACAGAATTAAACACTGTTATGATGCGGTCTTTAAAATATGCAGTACCACGAGGCAGAATGGCCTGGGGAACATGAGGTTTGAAAGAGTACAAATTACCAAGAGATGGTCAAAACTGTCACAAGCAGACCTGGAAGGCAAAGTGTACGCCCTCTGACGTCACTTTACAAAGCAGAGCATCTCAGACATGAAGAGGAGGAGAGCCATCGAGACATCACAGAGGCAGAGGAGGAAGACTCACGACGGCTCTGGGTCAGGAAAAAGGTCTTTGGGGAGGAGCGAATATCATGTGAACAAGTCAAGTCGTGATGTGATCATCAACGTCTGAGTCAGCAGCATCACAGAGATGCATTCAATGAAATGTGCCCACAACTGAATGAGGAGTGATGAGGCTTCATCGTCATTCACAAACAGAGATCTGAAGAGTCTCAGCCTTAGACTGACCCAATGCAGGAAGCTGACCAGCTGCTGTTTGAGCTTCAACAAAGAAGGTGGATCTGAATGCTAGAGCAAGAATACACACATGAGAGAAGTGTGCTTCTAACTTGGGTCGGCCTGTTTCAACATGACCATAAGTTCATGCACAAAGTGAGTCATGTGTTTGTCTTGATGTTCTCAGCCACGTGTTCACTGTTAACGGTTTCATCTAGAGCTCTGAAACCACAGAGAGTCTGACCCCAGCCTCAGAAGCACTCTGCACAGGAAGAGGAAGTTCTCACTCACATTATAATAATAATAATTCCTTACATTTATTATAGCGCTTTATCAATGACTCAAAGCACTTTACATATACACACATTACACATATATGATACATGCAATGGTCAGATACTGTGGACAATACCCACAGGAGCAAGTTCAGGTGAAGTGTCTTGCCCAAGGACACACCGGCTTTACAGACGCAGCAGCGGCGGGTTTCACCCCTTGATCTGATGATCATTGCACAGCGCACTGCGCCACACCGTCCATCTTCACGCCTCGAGGTCATCGAGGCGCTTTTACAAGTACACATTGGTATTATACATGTACTGTGGACATTACCCACAGGAGCAAATCCGGGTGAAGTGTCTTGCCCAAGGACACAACGGCCTGACACAGTGGTGGCAGGAGCGGGTTTCGAACTGGAGTTCCCCAGCACTCCCCCTTGATCTGATGATCGGATGCACAGACCACTGCGCCACCCGTCCCTATGTTTCTGTGTCTCTCAGTGAGACGCTCAGACAGCAGGAAGACATCATGGAGGTCAGAGCGCTCTGCAGCCGACTGCGTGAGGCTCAGCTTTCTTTCAACTTTCACTTATTCTTTTATATCAACACATAGAGGCTGATTTACAGTTTTCTTTACTTGTATATCCAGTGATCGTTCTGCTGGGTGCTCATACTCAGAAGAGCTCTACGAGAAACTATGGTGGTTAACAACTACTAAAGATTCACATGCTCATGGTGATAGGAAAAAGCTGTCCGTGCATCGTGTGAGAAATATTGGCATTATATCTTGTATTATACATGTTTTATTTGTATATGTTATTTAGCATTAAATGATCAAATCAGGGAATTTTAAACAATATCAATCTCTATTCAGACGATACACTTCTCTATGTTACTATCTAATTTCTGATGTATTGATCATGTAGTTCTGTTTATTTCTGATATGTTCATTCAGTATGTGATGATGCCATATTTTACATTCACTGTATTTTCAGGATGACATTTCTTCCCTCGGTCTAAATCATCTCCTAATCTTTATTATAAATAACCCCAGATGAGACTAAACGTTTGATCCCCATGTTGTTCTGCTGGCTCTGTGATCCTGGAGAGTCCTGTGCTTCTATAAAGATGGCCGCCTCATCAGGAGCAGCTCCACAGGAAACATCACCATCCAAAGAGTTTCTAAATCTGATGAAGGACTCTACAAGTGCAGCATCTCTGAAGGTGGAGAATCACCAGAGAGCTGGCTGACTCTCAGAGGGGAGATATATAAATAAGATGTATGAGATTATCTAATTAAACGACAAAGACGTTAAGAGAGAGCTCAAAGAAGAGATAACTCAAATCTAGAGCCCAGAAACTGAGAAATCATGTGAATCACTTTAATGACAGACGTTTCTTTGTTTGTATGTTTCTGAGTTACGATTATCTATCGAAGTGCAGAGATCTACTTCCTGCCAGGTGTGTGTGTTATGCAGAGGGACTTAGTGCCCCGCTTGAAGCCTCAAAATCACCCACCAGCGCTCTGTACTCCTCCCTTATTCAAAGCTCAAAGGAGAGCTGCAGCCTCACAGAGCTGCTAACATAACTGCAGACATGTGTTAAAAAGCAACAGACTTATCTTTACTGTTTATTTAATACAAATACAAAATTATTTATTTTTTATAAATTGTAAGTAGCACCCCATGTGACATGTATTAAAAACAGACATGGAAGTTGGTATTTCCCAAAGCGAATATTATCAAAGCTGCACATCAGCTTCTGAACCGATCAATATAAAACACAATTTCAAACATTTCCATTTCTGAGATTTCTAAATTATTATTTTTTACGAAAAGAGTAGATTTTCAGTCAAATATAAAAGCAGTGGCCATCAACCAAAGGGAGCTCTGTTTACCACAAAACATGTTTTAAACTGTTGAATATCAGAATAATAAAAGTGTGTCTGTAAATGGTTGATCTCCTCGTCTTCACTGAGCGTCACAACAACCTGTGTTTGAGCAGGAAGTCGTGCTGTTCCTGTTCATAATGTTTATAATGGGAACTTTCTCTCAGGACTCATCTCATCTCAATGTGAGGTACTTCCTTAAAGTCCTGCTTTTTGTGTTTTTGAAATTGAGAGTTTATTTGAAACTTCTAATAAAAGTGGAGAAAGATCAACAGAGCAGAACAAAGGAGGTTCATTATTATGTTTAGGTGGATGTCATACAGAGTACATATTGCTTCTCCCCAGTTTTGCTGTAGAGGGTGAACTTCAGTCTGTCTCCAGAGCTCCAGGGCTTCAGATCAAACCACACCAGGTCAGTGTTAGAACGATTTTGATCTTGACCTTGAACCCACATCTGTAAAATACAAAATCACAGAATTACAAGCAGAATCATTGAATCACGAAATAATTAAAATAATAATAATGCATTTTTTATATTCTTATATTTTAACATATAATTCAGTTCTGAATGAAAAACATTTGAAAAGGAAAAATGCAACATAAAGTGAGAAAACTAGAAAGACTCACAGTGACATCTCTTCCACCCTCAAGTTTCAAAGATTGATGAAATGTGTACATGCTGGGTTCGTTGTCGTTAACCTGCAGATTTAACACCCAGTCTCCCAGCTTTTTGTACTGCAGGAAGTTTAATAATGGGAGATAGAGAAACTAATAAATGAATGTGTTTGATGATTATAGATGACATGAAAACAAGTGGATTCTAGGCATCTCGTCATCTTGATGGTTTGAACAGCTCATTTCAGATATGGATAAGTTACATTATTCACACTCATTAAACACTCATGCATGAGTTTTTCCACACAAACAACATTACCTTAGTGGATTTGTTTCTGAGCCAGATATATTTGCAGCGTTGGTCGACATCAATATTAAATCCTGAGTCTGAGGTCTGATTCTCCGAGCTGACGCCCTGCTGCTGCTCCTCATATCTAACAGCTTGCGCCTGACAGGGATACAATATACACACATACTCAATCCCTGTGTTTGTGTGTGTGTGTGTGTGTGTGTGTGTGTGTGTGTGTGTGTGTGTGTGTGTGTGTGTGTGTGTGTGTGTGTGTGTATGTGTGTGCGTGGCATGTTGTGGTCTTGATAGTCTCAGAAACACTTACCTTGCTCTCCACCTCTTCCTTTAGATCCTTCAGTTCTTTCTCAGCTTCCTCTCTTCCTCTCTTCTCCTCCTGGAGCTTCTTCTCAGCCTGAGATGTAAAGAGAGATGAAGACATTTTAACTTGATTTGAATGAACAGAACATCCTGGTCCGGATTCAAACTAGTTCCTGGTCTGCATCATATTTTCTGTCACAGGAACAATACATGCTTTTCTTCCTCACAGTGGAACTCAAGTCCAGTTTCAGTCGTTCAATGTCTTGCATAAAAATACAAATATATGTTTGTGTGAAAAGAAAAGATGTTTCCTAGCTTCCTCTTCCCTCTTCTTCTCAGCGAGGAGTTGATCGTTTAACTGGGAGGAGGTGACGTTTGATTTATTTAAGATAAACTCATTCGCCAAAGGAAATGTCATGTAAGTAAATGTACATAACCATCTCACACACAGTTTAAATCACAGGAGGTGTGTGTATGTGTGTATGTGTATGTGTGTGTGTGTGCGGGTGTATGTGTGTGTGTATGTATGGGTGTGTGTGGGTGTGTGTGTGTGTGTGTGTGTTGTGTAGGTGAGTGTGTGTGTGTATGTGAGTGTATATATTGGTGTGTGTATGTGTGTATATGTGTGTGTGGGTATGTGTGTGTGAGTGTGTGAATGTGCGTGGGTGTGTGTCTGTTGCGTGATCTCTCGTGTGTGCTCCTTTGTGTTGGTCTGTTGTGCGTGTGTGTGTGAGTGTGTGTGTGGTGGTGTGTGTGCGTGTGTGTTTGGTGTGCGTGTGGTGTTGTTATGTTGTGTGTGCCTGTGTGTGTGCTGCGTGTGTCTTTTGTACGGGTGTGTGTGTGTGTGTGCGTGTGTGTGTGTTCGTGTGTGTGTCTGTGTGTGTGTGTGTAATGTGTTGTGTGTCATATGTGTGTGTTTTGTGTGTTTGCGTATGTGTGTGTTGTAATGTTGTGTGTGGTGTGCATATGTGTGTGGCGTGTGGTGTGCGTATGTGGTGGTGTGTATGTGTGTTTGTATGTTTTTGTGCATATGTTGTGATGTGTGTGTGTGTGTGCTGTGATGTGTGTCTATGTTTGTGTGTTGTTGTGGTTTGGTGTGGTGGATAGTTGTGTCCCTCTGTCTCCTCTCATTTCTGTTCCTCCTGCTCTCTTTCTCTCCCACTTCGCCTCTTTTTCATCCTTCGCCTCTATCCTCCCTCCTCCGCAGGTCAGCTAGTTTTCCATGTGTTTCCTGACGAACACACAGATGTTGATTTCAACTGTTTCCTAAAGTAAAAATAATAACAATAATTCTAACAGAAGTGTTTTGACCATAAACTTCCCTGTAGGATATCAAAGATGAAATATTTCATATTCAGTTTTATCACAGAGCTTGTGCTCATGTCTTTATTCCATCACTTAATCAACAGCTCATTTAAAGTTATACTATTATATACTTTATACTTGAAGTCAGAAGAAATAATGATCACAGTCGATTACATCTTTGA